AATGTTAAAAGGATTAGGGCAGCCAGGATTAGGAGTCCCCCCCCCCCCCCCTCCCCCCCCCGATAGCAAGAGGCCACCAAAAAGCAACAAAAATTCTACAAACAAAACGAGGCAATGCATGCAAGCAGCATCGATGAAGTATTTACGTAGCACGGGAAACGAGCACGGCACCTCTCGTCGGGTGTCCTGCTCTCTCCTAGCCCTCTCCTCGAGGCGGACGGCCACCGCAGCCCCCACCCGAGAGGCCTCCACTCGTACCCGCTCCTGAAACACACAAAAAAACGACACACACACATACACGCACATACAGCAGTGCGGTGAACCCAGTTTTTTGGATTTCGCCATTGATTTACAGCCGGAATTTGAAAGGGGGGGGGTACTAAACGTAAACATCAAAGGACGAAATATTTAGGATTTTATCCAATTTCGATATCTTGCCGCGGGCTTTCGGGGTGCCCTACCCGGCACAAAAACAACATTGGGCCCACCTCTGTACCTTGAACTTATTCACGTGAAAAAATCGATGTGGGCAAGCTGGTAGAGGTGGGCAAGCGCTGTAGGCAAGCACCCGCTCTGCGCGTCCACGATGCAAGTGGCCATCAAGGTTGCGGGGCTGACGGCCAGGGCTTGCTTAGGCTATCCGCTTACACTCCCATCAACGAAGAAAACGCAACAAACGACCGGGACATCTACTACTGCTGTGGGTTACATGAGATTCCACAGTTCCCTGGACCGATTTTCAACGCTCGAACAACCCAAAGACGAAGAGGATATATAAATGAAACGTCAAAAATTCGGAAAGCTCTAGAGGAGATGTTCCAAGGCCCCCCCTTTCGGCTCCGCGACTCTTTCTGCTGTGGACCAATCGAGCTCTGGAAATCGGTCCAGGGGGGGTGTGATCTTACGTCATCTACGGCACTTCCTGCGTTGGACGCCAAGACCAAACCCAAGCAAATGGCGAGGGAAACTAGACAACAAATCACACCAAATATGCATACCTCCCTCCCCTCCAAAACCAACCAAGACCATGCCAAAATATAACCTACCCATCCCCGCCCCCCGTGAGGCAAAGCACAACAACAACAACAAACCCATGCACAGACACAACCCATTTCATTTTTGTAGACAAGAGTAAACAGCAACACACCGACCTCGGCTTCAGCTACCCGCTCCTCCAGCTGTTCGACCACCTCCTCTGAGACCTCGTCGTCGTCCTCCCCGCCCCCGCCCCCGCCCCCGCCCCCACCTCCGTACACGTTTTCGTCGGCGGTGCCACCCCGCCCTGTGATACCCCCCCCGCCCCCGGAGAACGCCTCCATTCCCGCGGCTCTCGTTGTCTCCGCCCGGTCGGGATCGGTGAGCCGAAGGAGTTCCAAGATTCTGAGGACGTGAAGACGGGGGCCGTACGCTTATGTATTGCATGCCTTATCTGTTAGGCCATTGACCACGCGTCCTCGAGAGGGCGGAGGGGGGCGGGAGTTCACGTGCAGGACAGCCGTAAGGCTACGTGGTGATACTTAAATTGCGCGCAAAAAATCGATGTGGCGATCCGCGAGCTCCGGTAAAATATATTTTTTTGTCTGTGTAGGTTTTTGTTAGAAGCGGCGGAGGAAGAAAAGAAAAGGTACTGTTTTGTTGTTTTGTATGGAAGCGCGAATCTGATATTTCAGAGGCTTGAGATTTGTATTGCACCTGTTTTATTATTGTCTTTACTTCAAAATCAGCGCTCACAGTATGCACTTTGTGCCGTTTTCTCCAACACGTGGTCACACAGAAGGTTCCTTCCTCTCCCTGAGGCCCCTTACCCACCCACCCCTGCGGTGCGTTGTCTTCGATTTTTATCGCGAGAAGAGTGCGTCACTCTCTTTCCTCTGCGTAAACACGAACTACAGCAGTATCGCTTTCCACCCAGGCCAGGAACGGAAACTCGCCTACGCCGGAATTCGAACCCCTGCCCGACCCTGGCCACAAAAATGTCGTCGAGGACACAACTAGACTACCGGGGCGACCGGAAAAAAAAAGTGAGGCCGGGGAGAATCGAACTCCCAATCTTCAGGACTGGAATCTGACGCGTTACCATTGCGCCACGGCCCCGTCACATGTACACCAATGAATTCAGGGACACATATTGCCGTCCGGAAGGGCATTCGGAATGGAGGAACCGGGGTTGAAGCTTGCGCAATATCTAGACCGCTGGCTTGTATCAGGATTAAAGAAGCAGTGGTGCATGTCAGGATGGCATACGGTATGAGGAGAAGTATCATCCTCTGGCGCTACAGTAGGCTAGGAATCGCTTGGAGGATCAGCGTTGCCAGCACCTAGCAACGGTTAACTCAGCAACAGCTCACGTCTCGCGAGGAATGTACACCTCAGCGCAAAGAACAGGACCGATAGAAGAAATCGTACGGATCGCCAAACAACCCCCCACCCAACCCTTAGTAGAACCACGCCAAAAAAAAAAGCAGGTCTCTCCTGTGCCGTGTTTCTCCTGGCGGTTGAGTTCGGCTGCAGCTCAAGCGAAGCGTCCTCAACCCAACCGGTGCAGCGATCCCAAACTCGCTCGCTCGTTTCGGCAAGACCTACCACGCCACGGCATGTTTTCCTTGCCTTCGGAGGCACCCGGGCGGGTCCAAGCACCCGCATCTCCCGGGATCGCGAACGAGTTTTACAACACAGCTCCCAAAGACACAAAACGAAACTTAGCAACAAACAAGCTTCGAGGGAATGTAAACATCTCAATCCCCCCGCCCCCGCCCCCGCCCCACGGCCCACACCTCTCTCGGTCGAGAAGCCTCTCCAACCGCAGAACCCCCAGCTCCAGCCCGTGCTCAAGGTTGCTGAGCATGACCGGCGACGGCGGCACCGGAGGACATCATGGAAAGTCCCGAAGGCGCGATGAGAGCGTTGGTAGAGTAATAGGCGGGATACACGTAGGAGGGAGGGAGGGGGACGGTTGCGTCAGCAGTACCACCACCTCCTGCATAGCTAGGATAAACAAGATATGACGGTGAATCTGCTCAGCCGGTTTTGTGAGGACCTACCGGCACACCAACCCCTGTAAAAAACGCCCCAACATCACAAGAAAAGACAGCGAAAACAGCTGGGATGCGTTGTAGTCCAGAGCACGAACACATGCAACTGGCTGAGTGACGCACCTATGGGAGGGATGGACTCGCCGTCATTTACTCTGTCGATGCCAATAAGACGCAAAAACAACTAGAGTTATGTATGTTTCACTCTTTTTGCCCAGCAAGAACACTGAGGTCGTTCGGTGCGCACATACAGCCCCACCTCACGCGTTTGACCACACACACAATACAAACGTTGTTTCCACTGGTCAGCCAGTTAAACGCAGTCGATACCAATTAAAAAAACACACACTCGCCCTACGCGCCCATACACACCTCAGCCGTTTGCGCATACACACACATGAAACTGACGCGTTTTCGTTGTTGGCCAATCAGTTAAGCGCAGTCGACGTCAATTAAACGAAACAAAAAAGAAAAAACACACACACCCACACACACACAACAAGACTGGGGTACTTTCACTGGTCAGTCAGTTGAGCGCAGTCGACGTCAATAAAACAAACCGAAAAAAAAAAAAAAAAAACACACACACACAATAAGACTGGCGTATCTTCATTGGTTAGCCAGTTAAGCGCAGTCGACGCCAAAAAGAAGCACACACACGCACACACGCCGACTACACAGCACGCCTTATACACAGTTAATGGCATTTTATGAAGTGTTTTGTGTTTTCAACCGCACTGAGACTGAAGTATTTTGATTGGTCAGCCGGTTAGCGCGATCGATGCACATAATAAAGATACACACAAACGCACACGCCCCACACGTACCTCAGCCGTTCGGCCTGTAGCCTGACCTTGGCATCCGATTTCCGGTTGTGCAAGGTTCGAATCTCCTCACTCGCCAGGCGTTGCTCCTCGCGAGCCTCTCGCACGGACGACGCCTTCGGCGCCGTCCCTCTGCCCGACCACGGCCGGCGCAGCTGCAGCCGCCGACGCCCATCAGCGTTGCCACCGGGAGTGTTGTCGAGCCGTCGCACGCCCCGCCCCTCTTCGACCTCGCCGCTGCCGCTGCTGCTCTTATTGCTCTCTTCCTCCGCGCTTCCCCCGGTGCCTGCTGCTGCGAGTGGTTCTGCTGCTGGTGGCGGTGGCGGCGTGAGCAGCTGCTTGGCGGCGTCGATGTAGGCCTCCCGCTCCCTTTCGAACTCCAGCGTCTGAATCGATTGGTTCGACGAGGGTTGGTTGGTCGACATGGGTATGTACCGGCGGCGGTATTCGCTAAACTACAAAATGATTCTGGATGGCATGCTCAGATGGTGGTTGGGCTTTTACCGTATACGGAACAACAAACACACACCCCATTTTGATTTCGGAAGAATGTTTTTGGGGGGGGGGGGGGGGCGATCTCGTGTGTCCATTTACTTGACCTGAGAGTAGAGTTACATTTTTGGGCTCATGTTGATAAAAAGTTGTACCACCGGGTGTGTTCTTGCGTTGGGGGGGGTAATATCATTATCCTGTGTGGGTGTGTCGTGTGGTATAATTGTGTCGTGCGCGAGTCGTCTACAACATATCACTGTAAGTCCGTTAGCAACACACACACACGACTGTTTGTCGACTGCTGTCGTACACAATGATCCTAGGCGCCCGACTGTGTCACTTTCAGGATGATGCTCGCAGACAGCAGAATCGGCACGCTAGCAGCCGGGTAGAGATGTAACCAGGGCATTATCGTCAGGAGAACTCAAGCAGCAGCCGGCAAGGCAACAACGTGCACCCCATCGCGGTACAATATATAGAGAAGGAACTTCCATTCATTTGAATCAGACCACACTTCTTCGATGACGCAATTGCAGGCTGCCGCTGGTGACGTAAGATACCACACACCCTCGACCGATTGTTGAAGCTCGATATCTCCACAGAGGAAAGAGTGACAGCGCCGAAAACGACGGCGTTAAAGCCGTATTATCAAGAGCTTTCCGGAAACGTATGCATATCGGTTGATGTGTGCAGGGGGTGTGGTATCTTGTGTACACTTCATGCTTGGATGTCTTGCTGGGCACACAGCGATCCTGATCACACCTTTGCCCTGATAGACTCTGCGAGGGTCTTCTGCGCGTCGAGACCAACCCCTAGCTCCTCGACGCTCTCCCAGGCAAAGTCTCCGAGGCCATGCTCCATCTCTCCTCCTCTCTTCGCCCACGACGCCGCCGTTGACTATTTTGGGGTTGAATTTGAATTTTGCGTCGTGCTCTCCGTGGTGAAACTATCGAAGTTTCGATGCCGGCCTCATCCAAGCGGAGACAGGGTGCCTTATTCAGACAGCAGCAGTGGAGCAATGTTTCAGCATGCCCGTCCCAGGTCTCTCTCTGCCATTGCTACGCGCACAACGCGTGTGGATAGTGTCTTCGCTGGTCGGTCGCACTGCTGAATGCAGTACCCTCCAAAATATATCCATCCATCTGCGTAGCCCCTTCGGAGATCTCCTTGGATCTCGCGCGAGAAGATCTCGTGATCTCGTGCTCCCCCGTCGCGCTGCGCGTTATGTTTGCAATGTACGCCGCCTATGTATATTTTTAGAGCGTGGCGTGTCAGTCGATTTTGTACAACAGAGCCATGGGCGTCTGAGTGAAACGGACTGCTTTGGAACGCCAGGTGCCTTTACACACGCCGCCGCGCTAGACTAATATGTTTTTCTTTTCCAGATCGTCGAAGACGTGTCTGTCTGTCTCACATACAGCAGTTGCACCGTCCATTGTTGTGAAACGCACCGTCCGTTATGAAACACTTGATGCTTGAGCAGGTGTTGTCTTCACACTAAAAACTGTTCCGAGCTCTCTGCCCAAGTACCCTCACCTGTCCGACTGATCTACCAGTCAGTGTACCTGTAAAGCGTGTGCGCTGACGAAAACAAAAAATCAGAAGAAATCATCGTGGGCGGGTGGTGAAGAGGACCTGAGCGTTGTTGGTAGAAAGACACGTCTACACATCATGTCATTCTTGATCCATGGAAGAACTATGCTACGACGTATAAGTAATACGTACACAAGTGACCCTTCCGGAGCATGGGCTCATGAGAGCACGACAACAGTGTCATCAAGGCGTGAAATGCAAGATGAAATAACAGGTACACAGGGCCAACAAAACAGCTGACTGCCAGCTGCGGTATGACGGTTTTTCAAAGCTCGATCGAACAGTTTACATAGCTGACCCGTTGTTAACTCGAATAGCCCAGCGAGAACCGCAACGAACAAAAAACAATACAAAAGCACCACGCGTTTTCGTCGCAAACGATCAGTGCACAGCAGCCTTTCGAATGTTCGTGGAATTTTAATCCTCTGCTTGCCAATGCAACAAAAAAAAAAACTGTGGGAAGTAGGGGGGGAAGCAGCAAAAGTTGAAGTTCGATTTGGCCGAGGCAGACAAAAAAAAACAGCGTACCTCAAAACGTTAGAAGTATTAATTTTCGGTTTTCTACCCGCCAGAAGAAGAAAAAGAGAGAGCCTCTCCGCTGATGGCGGAACGCCTGTCTCACGCGATGTCGAGCGTGCCCCAGACATTGCTATGTACCGCGACCTCCCAAACCGCCACATGGCGGGGGTGGTGAGCGGGGATGGCTTCCGGCTACGACCTACCTTAAACTAGGGTGCTTTACAAAACCGTTATTATTGCATACGTAGTCGCGACAACACCATGGTCGCCGTCTTGAAATCCCCACCGTCATCACAGGTTACTTACTCTGGTACGCACTCAGCGAACCACTTGTTCATCACATCCAAGCACACCGCATCATCAAGCTAGCCTCCTCGATTGTTCAAGCCATCACGTCAACGACATCTACGGCCGACAGGTTACACCACATTAAACTAAAAGCAACGCAAGACGCACGATCTATGATACACCGGAACACAAAACGAACTTGAATAAACATTGTTCCTGTAAAAGGCAATTCGTCAACATGTCACGAAAAACGCCGTTCATCCCCTACCGAGCATAATCGTCGGACCACTGCATCAAAGGTTTAAAGTGGAGGGGGGCTCTGAATTGGCAATCTTCAACCCCCCCCCCCTCCCTCAAATGAAAACGCACGAAAAAAAATGATCTTCCAATCATCTGACTATCTCAATCACCCCCTCTAGGGATGTCACGTACGTCCAGGGAAAATAATTGGGAAACTTTGCTGTGCTGTGCTGGTGTGAATTGAAGACTGGGAGTGAGGGAAGACAACAAAAATGAGAAAAATCACCGGTCGACAATGTATAATACATCAAAACGCAACAAGAAACGAGCAAAGGGAAAACCCGTGGAATCGGCAAACAACTCCATGGAACAGGCACGGAACGCGACTACGACCGGTACACGCACAATCCAAGCAGAACGATGAGGCGATACGCTTTTCCGGGTGATCTAATTTGACATCATTACGGAGAACAACCAACCAATACCGACGATACGAACACGCATAACAAAGGGGAACCGCGCGCGGACGCGCGCCGGGGGGGATCGCTACCAGAGCCGATTTCAGCGGCACGTGCAATCTTCCTCGAGAATCTTCTCGAACGACTTCTTCGTGGCATCCTTGATCAAAGCCAAAACACCGGCCACAGTCTCAAGTCCTCGCCAACCAAACCCTACAATACAAGAAAAAGGGTCAACAGGGAACGCCGGCGGCGCCGAGGCCCCCGGTTGCGACCGACAGAATCACACCGCTGGCTTAGGCTTAGGCTTAGGCTTAGGGTAGAATCACACCCCGGGAACGTTGCATCCAAGAACCCACGGGACGATTCCGAAGAACGGTATTCCGGCGCCATCACCGTGTGCTTAAGAAGGTCAACAGCCCTCTACAGGGCGCGGCAACGCGGCTTCCTCTCCTCTTGGAAGCTCTCTACTGACACTTCCCCCCCTTCTTCCTTAGTGCCAACCTCGGTGAAATTCTGCGGTTCGGTATTTACGGAAGCGCGCACTCCTATCGCCCTCCCCCCCAATCAAATAATCAAAATCCAGGACCAAAACCAAGCAAGCAGTCCATTCGTAATGATCACGTACACAAACGACATCCGTTCACCTGTGTGAACTCGGGGTAAGGGAATCACTAGGCAGGCCATCTGTAAATGATCAAGAACACCAAATGACATAAGTTCAACCGTGTGCAACCGTGTGAACTTGGGGTATAAGTGAAAACCGAAAAAAAACAAAAATCCTGAAGAAGGAAAACGATGAACGGTTCAGCCAGACTTCTTTGTAACGCACCCCTTACGCCTTGCTGCCAGCAATCAGACCAATGCCGACGCTGTGTCCGACTGAATCCCAACTAACCAACCTCAGGCTCGCAAAACGGACGCCCCCCGTCGTTGAAGATGCTTCCCATTCCCCATCGCATGCATTCCGGCGCTCCAGAGCTCCAAGCAAGCCGCACTCCCGCATGGAGTGGCGACAACAGAAGACGCCCCCCGGTTCCCCGTCGCAAGCACGCCGGCGCTCCGGAGAGCTCCAAGCACGCTACATACCCGCATGGATTGGCAACAATAACCAAGCCAAAATCCTCATCGCAGTACCACCATCCCCGTGGCCTCAACACGAGGCACTGCGCCCAAGTCGGCGTACCTGGCACAGGGCCAGTGAATGAGACGTTGGCAGGCAGGTAGAGAAGAAAACGCCAGGAAAGGGACAAAAAAATATCGGAGCAAGCGACCATTCGTGTTGGTTAGCGGGGAGCGCACGTACATAGCAGACTTACAAATGGTAACACCATAGGGGTATGCGTTAAAAGAAGAAGAGCGTCGACGTTTGCGCAGACTGCCAGAAAAACGAAGTACCAACTAAATTAAAACAGGTGTGCCAACAGCAGTAGCGTCAGCAAGAGGAGGAAAGCGCCAAACCATTGGCACTGCGCGGCAGAGACTATACCACAACCGAGAGCGACTGTCATTCGGGGACGGTGGAGCGGGGCGACGTTTGCGGCGCAGGCGCTTTAAATCATGTGCGAACGGTGGGCCAAGGTGCTCAAGATCAGCAAAAACAGCAAACGCGATTCGAGCAACGCGCTGTGTCCTAGACAAAAACGCCACGACATTCCAAGACTTCTAAAAGTGAGCTAACGTCAGGGACGGCATCCCGACAAATTGTTGGCCGAGCACAGACTACCAAAAACCAATAATACAAAGGCTGCAAGAGCAATGCAAGCGGGACAACATCAGGGACGGCATCCCCATACGTTGTAAGACTGAGCGCGGTTCTACCAAACTTTGGGAAACCAGGAAGCCGTACTTGGCTCTTTCAGCACCGGCAGCGGCGACAACATCAAGACAAATCTGCGACTTTTCGCTTGTGCTGGCGTAGCTGAGCCGCTACCAATGGCAACCTGCTACTACCCGAACCACCCAACCCATAAACAAGTCCATCAGACCAAGCCCACGTTCGTCTGGGCCCATACACGGCCATTGCGAAACGGGCGAGGCACCGACACCACCGGAGCAGCAAACCTGGTAGTGTTGACAGACTGCAACCAAGTCCTTGCGCATTGTTGCTGTTGCAAGGAGAGCGACTCGAATACCCCCGGCATACACGTACCCCCGCCCGGCGCGCGCGCAAAGGGCAACAAACGCGAGACTGGATGCTGCAAGCAAAACATCTGTTCTATGTGCTTGAAAAAATGGTCCCCAGTTAACACAAGGCTGAGCGCATCGGCAGCATCTTCCACTGCTCTGCGTCAAGTGACGTAGTGGGGTGCGATATTGACGTATGTTCAGTGGAGGATAAGCTGAGAGAGGATAATGCGCACCGGCTGTTGTTGGCGCACTACAGTAATGTGAGCATATTGGAAACTTGGCTTGAGCGGCTTGGGGGGATCATGCAGAAAGACAACACACACCAAACAGGAAAAGATGCAGGTTCTATGCATAGTGTTGCATAAAATAGTAAACTACGTGCCAACCCAAAAATAACGTCTTCAAGGTGTGGAAACATCCATGGGTAGACAATAGTGGGAGATGCAATCATGCATGCACGAGACCCTGACCCAGCAGCGGCAAAACGAAACGTTACCGCTATCCTTGCTCACCTTGCAACTAACCAGGGAACCAAGAACGCGTTGCGTTTCTTTGGCCTATAGATTCGAACTCCCAGTGGAGCACTCGACCCTCCTCCATGGGCGGCGGGAAGGTCCGTGCCGTTATCAACACTGGCCCCGCCGCCGCAATCATCCCCATTAGCGCAAGCGCCGTCGGCCTCACGGACAGCACAGCCATCTCCCGGTTCATGCCCCCGCGGGCGCGCGACAGCACAAGCGTCCCCGGAGCCCCCCACGAAACCGGAACCACAGACATCATTGGAAGAGGCAGCCGCCGCGCCGCAGGCACCGGGGGCAGCCGTCGTCGCAGCAGCAGCACACGTGTGGCCGGCGGTGTAGGCTCTAGCCGTAGCCGGCCACGCCCACGACCGCGCGCGGTACGCCGGGCCCCTCTCCAGCATGCGCACGATCGCCCCTTTCTTGGCGGGGTCCCTCTGGAGGCTGGGCGCGTTGAACCCGACCACCTCCCTCGCCGGGCGGCCGTCCTCGTTCTCCGCGGTCTCGTCCGCCCCCGCCGCGAGGAGCACGCGCGTCGCCGAGATGTTCCCGAAGGACACGGCGCTGTGGAGCACGGGGTCCTCCTTGTAGCGGCACCGGGCCCAGTGCCCCTCCCGCTCGTGCCCCTCGGCGGAGAGCAGCATCCGCACGATGCTCGCTCTCCCCTTCCGCGCGGACGCCGCCGCGCCGACCGCCCGGGGGATCACGTCCGCCCCGCCGATCGCCTTCATCCCCCTGTCCGTGAGCAGGACTCGCACCACCTCCTGGTGGTTCTCCCGCACGGCGGCCACGAGGGGGCACATGTCCTTCTCCGCCGAGGCCGGCGGCTGCCTCGCCCCGGCGGAGAGGAGGTGGGACACCGCCTTGCCCTTGCCGCTCATGGCCGCGGCGTAGAGCGGCGTCAGGCCGTCCGGCGTCGCGCGGTTCAGCGTCGTCGGCGCCTTTTGCAAGAGGATGTCGATGAGGTTTGTTTGGTCCCGCGCCGCCGCAAACCCTAGCGCGGTCTTGCCTTGAAAGTCCGCCAGCGCCGGGTCCGCGCCTGCCTCCAGCAGCTCGCGGGCCATGACCGCCCGCTGCTCCCCGCGCGCGGAGTCCTCTAGGATGCACGTCAGCATCAGCGGGGTGAGGCCCTTCCCGTTCGCCGAGTCCGGGTCGGCGCCGGCCTTGAGCAGCAACCGAAAGACGTCAACGTTGTAGTGGTTGATGGCGACATGCAGCGCCCTCACCCCCTTGCCCAGCACCTCGAGCCCGTCCGAACATCTCAAGTCGTTCAGAGAGCCCAGGTCAACGTCGGCCTTCCTCTTGATGAGCAACTCGGCCATTCCCACCTTGCAAGACGCAGCAGCAGCGATGATCGGTCGCCAGTCTAGCTCGCTGGAGCCATCCACGCTTGCCCCTGCAGCGAGGGTTCTCTCCACGCCTGCCTCATTTCGCTGCCGGATGTACGCAAGCAATTGGGCCGCCAGTTGTGGCTTCGTGGCTGAGCGGGCCATGGTTGTGCTCAAGGGCGAGGGCTCTAGCGAACGATTGCAGGGAAACCAAGCCCACCTGCGAGCCGCTCCACGCGACGAGGAGGTAGGAGGTAGGGCGAGAGTTGCAGAACCTGGCGGCTGAACTACTGCTGATTTTCCGGAGTTCAGGATACCTTCGGAGGCAGTGCCGGGGGACTGTGGGCTCGGCGGCGAACCGGCGGCGGCGGACGATTGGTAGTTTGATCGAGCAAGTTTCCACGTCACGTGCGCTGTCCGCGGCTGTCTGTGCGCACGGATGGTAGGATCCAGTGATCTGTTCATCCCCTTTCTGTTCCCTTCCCCAGCTGCTGCCCGTGCGTGTGTGCGCCAACCGCACACTCCTACCACGGTGCCTGTACAATATCAAGTCCGCTACCCCAAAGTCCGGGCAAGTGCGGTACGTATCGTATTTGATGTTTACCCCACCGCGGCGGTGGCAGCACCTAACCTGACACTTTTCGGCTTCATGATGGGTACCGCGATAGCCATGCAATCCAGTAACATAACACTCGAGGATACCCTGGATCGTTTGGAGTCTTGTAGGGCGAGATGCAGCAGCATCAGTGGGTACCAAATGTTGTTTTCGAAGGGAGAGCCTGCGCGAAGAGAGAAGAAGGCAGTGTTCGGTTTCCACTCGACGAGATATTTGGCGCTTTGTGGTGCGATTTTTTATTTTTGTACATGTTGCCCCCCACAGGATCAAGCCCCCCAGTGCCCTCCGCGTCGCAGCAACGCTTCATAATAGTCGGTCATCTGACCGTCATTGACTGTATAATAAAGAGTTCCTTCCAAGATCGTAGCGACCTCTTGTCAAGTGCAACAGCACCTACCTGCACAAGCATTCACGGGTAGCACTCATTCTATTCCCCCCTAACGGACCGCCCCCGGTTGACGGCTCGGGAGAGCCGGTGCTAGAACGAGCATGCCTGTGTCCTACAAGCTGCCCGTGCACGGCTCGGTTGGTAAGATCATTTTGGGCAGCACGAAACACCCACAACAAAGACAACACTACATGGGAAAAACACCACTTGGGACAGCGTGCACGGCTCGGTTGGTAAGATCATTTTGGGCAGCACGAAACACCCACAACAAAGACAACACTACATGGGAAAAACACCACTTGGGACAGCTTGCGCCCTTTGCCCGTTACCAAGTACTCCGCGAGAAGAAGAACGAAAGGGCACGCGAAAACGAGTCTACCCCCAACCAACCCTGATCATGCCCGTCGCATGAAAAAAACGCACTCTCTCTCGTATCGTGCACTTTCTACTGAGGGTATAGGCGCCGCATTCTGTCCGACGCCAATCAACGCACACGGCTGAGTGACAAGGGAATGAATAATCTGAATGTCCATTGCCAACAAACTTGAAGCTTTCCCTCCTTTTCTTTTGTTTGTACTTTGCAACGCCAACATAACTGTGAATCGTGTTGCTTCCCCCGATGCCGATAAACGCACAGGTGCGTGCCGCTCCCATCGTGAAACCTCCCCCGGGGTTTGGACAGGCCGCTAAACAATAATTTGCCCATCACCGGCTAACGTTTTTGCTGGGGTAATTATTTGGCGATTCGCTGCTGGGTTTCGCGATAGTCACTCCAACATAACCAACCCCACTAATAGGCTGCACAGGACGTTCGCGACAAAACCAAGCGCCCGGACAAAAAAGGGGCAACAAAAGTGGGTACTTGGCTTGGCGGGCGACTCAACGAAACTTACTTGTAAAGGCAAATCGAGGCACTGGAGGTGCCGAACCCCTGGCAACACGGTGCCATTGACGATGCGTGTCTCATGCAAAACCTCAGAACACAGTACTCTGTAGTTCAACAACAGGGGCACCGTGGAATCCACTGTCACACACAACCCATAAGCGATGCTTTGAAACCATTCCATGAACTGGTCCGCCTGAGTTGGCCGGGCTATCCGGACCGCGTGGTGTACGGGTGGAGTGCACAGAGCGCATCCTTTAGTGGTGGATGACCTGTAAGTTGCCGGTCAGGGAGGCAGAAGGGTAACGTGGCGGGGTATGAAACCGCGACCAGGAAAGAAAGCTTCACAAATCCGAAATCCAACCGATCATCAAGGCTGCACTAACAACGACTACACACCTCGGTCAATCGATACCGTTGTGCCGAACTCCGGCAGAGAGAGAGGAGATCCCCGATAAAAACTCACAAAAAACGAGCAATTTTCACAGCTCTCGTAAGGCATCATAAAGCTAAACCGTCTCGGCTAGTAGGAGATTAAATGCTTTGTATTTTGCATGCTCCCAACCATGCTGGTGTTGAGGAATATCTCACCAAACCCATGTGTATTACTGCCGAATAAGCACTGTGACACTTTGAGGAATGTCTTACCACCGCCCATGTGCTTTTTCTACCCACGAAGCAATGCGACACATCCAGGAACATCCTATTTACTACCAAAGCCCAAAGCCGTGTGTGTTTTATTACCCAAGAACCAACGCGACACACGCACCTGCGGGACCTCCAAGTCGAACGTCTTTAGCAACTCCGGGAGCTCCACGTACGTCCTGACCCCCAGTCGGTAGAACACGTCGTTGCCCGGACGCTGCGCTCGTTCATTGTCGGGGAATAGCCGGCAAACAAAGAAACACATGGCGTGTAATGAATGAAGGGAGAGGCTTGGCTAAAAGAGAAACTGTGTAATCCGAGGAGGTACATCGTTATCGTGGTGCTCTCTCTACTTTCTACTTCTTTGCGCTTTCCTCGAGCGGGCGCAGTGTGGAACAAGGGGGGCGGGAGGCCGTACTCCACCTGTCGACCGTCGCCATGTTTGCTCTTGGCCATGTGGCACACACACGTAGTCAGTCGTCGAAGAAGCGAAAAATCCGCAACCCTTGCTGGTGAAACGCCTCCAAGGGAGGGAACGACACGGCAGCATGCAAGGAAGTAGGAGTAGATAAACAGGCGAGGGTCCTCTCACCGTGAGCCAGAAGTCGTCCACCAGCTGGTCCGCGAAAGACTTGATCATCTGCGAGGTCGAGCCGGCGGATGCGGAAGGACGGCCGTGCGAAGGGGGGGGGGGGGGGGGGGCGTCGCATCGAGAACATCAGCAGCACAGCCTCTTGGTAGCATCAGCAGCAGCAGTGAGGCAAGCGGAGATCCAACGAGTAGGAGCAGAGCATAAAAGAAGCAGGCAGGCTATGACTAGCTATTAGTCGGGTCTGGTGCCGAAGAACCCGGTCGCCTGCAGTCCCTCCGGTGGCGTGCTTCCGCCCTTGCTGTTTGCGAAACTACATGAGGGCCTCCCATGCTTCACGCGAAATATAAATGGGCTGAGAGTTTGACTTGCTCAGAGGAAAGGAACATAAAAAAATAACGGTAGTCAGACTCCTCGGTTTTGTAGTGCCCGCCTCACGGTTAACTGGCCGCCCCACGGGTTCATCTCCAAGTGTTTTTTCGGTTTACTACTACTTCGTCGCAGACTGACCCGCAACTTGTCGGGGACTACTGCTGTTGCCATCAAGTTCACGGTGTACCGAGGGAGAAACAAAAATGCAGCAAAAAAGAGCCACGCGTGCTAACATGATGCCAATCGATACATGAGGGGGGTGGCGACAGATGGATGTAAGCTATCCAGTCCACGTAAAGATGAAGACCAACACGTGCGCATGCAGAAAGGCCCCAACAAGATTCGCGTCACAGAGCACCGGGGGTGCCAGTAGAAGCTGAACGGGTCTTGTTTGGCTGGCACTACATATGCAGCCGCTCGTGGTAAGGATTTCTATTCCGAAATTGTCCACAACGCGGCGAAAATGGCACAAGCGGTGAAACTGTGAGGTCCAGGCTATCCTACCAGCGCCTCCTACATAAAAAAAACTACCCCACTTAGAAGGTCATCGCGTTCCGTTTCGTCGTGAACCCACGCAGTCGTTGGAAAATTGGCCGTGGAATCCATCTCCATGGAGGTTAGGGGTTGGGGCTGGTCCTGCGGGGGGATTGGTGCGGGAGGAGAACGGTTTCCCCGCGAATGCTTGTGAAAGAAATGGACGATTCAAAGGTTTTACGTCTCCTTGTAGAGGTACTACGGGCAACGCACGACGACAGAGAAAGGTAGAGATAGATATATAGAGAGAGGTAGATGGAGAGAGAGAGAGAGAGAGAGAAGAGAGGCATATCTTGGAGACGAAACGTCCTTTTCGAGGGGCAGCTACTTATCAAAAGTACGTAGCAATAGATTTGTTCGTTTTCCTGACGGCACCCCCGCGAAAAAAAAAAAACGGGGATCGGACATCCTCGAATCGTAGACACTTTCGTTCACCTCCCTCTTGGTGCTTTCAGCCTCCTTCGTTTTGATGTGCTCCGTGAGGCCTTGCAAGTCCAGCAGCTCGAGCTGCTGCTCCTCACTGTGCACAAGATGATGAACGAACAGAAATGTCGCATGCAATATTATGGCGTGAGTTGCGGAAGATGATCAGCGTGTCCGATCTAAAACGGTCATGAGCGACGAGTCCTCGGCTGTCGCACAAAAAGGTGACACAAACACATGTCACACACAACCGTCGCGCGAGTGTCGACCGATAAAAAACGCAGTTTGAATTACAGGGAAACAAGGCACAAGACAACAACAAGCGGGCAGATATACTTCGGTTTCGTACACGAACAGCAGGCGGCCGGAAAGGCCGTGGGGAAAAAAATAATATTGGATCTGTACCGCTTTTGAACAAGCGAGCAGAGTATCACTCCAGCAAAAGCGAACGTCGCAGGGAAGGGTACTCTGCACTTGCCACAAAAACTGCGTCGTTCGGGGGAAGAGAGGGGGGTGGTCGGGGCGATGAGTGAGGGGATCACGGGAAGATGATTTCGACAGAAACACATTGTTGACGAGAGGGGGGCAAAGGCAGGGGTAGTCGCGCCAGCTGCGTCGGCGGTTAGCCGCAGAACCATGGGGGTGTCGTCCTCCGACTCAGCGGATAACCCACCGAGTACCCTCGTTCTCATAGTGCGTAGCCGTGAACCGTCGGCACTGGCACGCTGATCATGGATGCCTACAAACATCCCTCATGGAAGCACGCAACTTCTACTCTGTGGTACAGACGTAATGGGCGGCACGTTTCCACTTTTACTCCCCCTTTTTGTCACTATCGCCCGTTTTTCGCCCCCTCCAGGTCAACGGTCTTCCGCTTACGTCATGCACGGCTACGAGTACCCCCCCCCCCCCCCCCTCCCGCGTATCCTTCCTTGCCTCTTCGCGAACTTTTCGATCATGCCCCGGAAGGCCTTGACCTGCCAGTCTTCCAGCTTGGATCCGTGCAGCTTCGCGATCTCGTCCGCGGTCTGCAACGGAGGCAAAGAAGAAACACGAAAATAAAAATCAGTCTCATCGATCTACGCACACGCAAGACTCCTCCGACCAAAACCCTCTAACGTCCGAAACACTTGAAAAAACTCCCCAAAGCTGCCGAGGTCTACTACCACTCCCGGGATCGCGACCGTTGAAAAGATGGGTCGTTCAGCGAGTGCTTCGAGTGCTTTCTACGCTCTCTCTCTCTCTCTCTCTCTCTCTCTCTCTCTCTCTCTCTCTCTCTCTCTCTCTCTCTCTCTCTCTCTCTCGCCATCTCGCCATCTCGCCTTTCAACTCCCCGCCTCGTACATACCTTGTTGATGAAACAGTGGTAGATCAACCCGTTTGGCCCGCTTGCCTTCATACTTCTCACCCCCATCTGCAGAACAAAGGAAGGGGCGACGGGAAACGCGCACGTGCGCTCTGGTGTTTTGTGTGTTCTACTCGTCACTCCTTAAGAGTTGCGAAAAGACAATTCTCGCACCCCCATATCGTCGGTTCCTCAACTATTTACCACGAATAGGCGAATCTACTACGGCAAGGATGGACGTCAGCAAGCTTACCACAAGGCGAAACTACTACGGCAAGGTTGGATCCTAGCCAAGGTTTTCACGGGAGGCCAGTCGGCATTTCGACAAAACGGAGAAGCGCATGACGAATGGCGGGGAGTTTCATGGAAGGAGTGAGCCGATTCCAACGACCCAACCATCAATGCACACGGCGGAACCGCGGAACGATCAGCCAACCTATTCTTGCATATTTTTTCCGGCGGACTGGGAAGAAAGGGTTTGATTTGTTGCTCATAGCGAGTCTAGCGAGTCTCCCTTCCTACGATCTCGGAGCCTGTATCCCTTCCTGTTCTAGAATTTCAAGGTTGCTGTTGTTTGGACGACATCCTCCAATGGCGTAGAGGCACGTGGGGAAAGAAGTGGAGACGTTGAAAATGGTGGACGTGATATAAGGAGACAGCGATCCTCTTCGCCAGAAAACGAAGCACAGCCAGAATGCCGCAGATTTCAAAATTTTCAGCTATGTTTTACTGCTGTAATAGTACCATTTGTCACTGGTCCAAGGTGTCCTCGCTGCGTAAACTCAGCGGCACCTTTCTCGGTTCTCGGCAAAACCTCGGAGCCCGATTATGGTAAATCACTGTCAACGTGCGCGAAAAAACGCTGATGCCACTCCCCGCATGCTTGGTGGAGGAGATTGAACTCCCAGCAGGAAAAGGTGCATGAAGAGTGGCGTCCAGACAAGGTATCCCGGAAACGGAAACGGAACTCAAGAGAGCCCCTAGGGGAAACAAAGAACGACGGAGACAAGACTGCGGGGGGCCACACGCACACCAGCCTCACACCCCGCAGAGCAAGCCCCCCGCACGCTGCTCGATCCCAGAACACCCATGCAAGCGTACCTAGCACACTAGCAGCTGCTCTCAGGGGTAGCATTTCAATTCAACGATCGACCAATATCTCCTTCAAAGCACTGGACGTTGTACTATCTTTGGAATTAGTCAGCGCAAAACTTTCGTTCATAGGGGTTCCCCACATTTCCAAATGCTCCACCACAAAGCAAAAAACAACAACAACAATTCGTCCGGACATGAACAGGCTCTGCACTTCTGCGACAACGTTGTTTAAGTCTGGAATCAGACTCCACAGCCGCGCACTTACGTCCATGCTGCTCAGCATCTTGTCCACCTTCGAAATCGCCTCGTCGAGGGTGAACGCGAGCTCTCCGAATCTCTGGTAGGAAACGTCCAGCGCCTTCTGGGCTTCGTCTTGAGACATAACTTTCCTCGCCTGTGATTCCCACATGCATACATACAATGGAAACTTAATCGTAGGTGGGACGCGGAAGGATGGAGGCGATGTGGCACGGCATGGCAGTGATGTGCGCATGTATCGGGGGGGGAAGGGGGGGCGCTTGACTCTGCTGTTTGATCGGTACGAACGGAACAGCCGTGAGGCGACTTTTCGAACTGAGCTCCCTACAGACGGGTCCTTGATGAGAGTCGAAGACTGTTTCGATTTCTCGTGGTCTGGTGCACCGTTTACGAATGGAGGCGCGGGGGAGAGTTGAAAGAACAGGTGCACCCTTTCATTGATCGGCAGGTGTGAAGCTGTTCGAGCATCAATGTGTCAGCGGTCCAGAGTACCTGTCGACCTCTTGACTGATGAAACCGAATGCCGCAAAAAAGCAACCGTTTTCTGTGTGAAACGAAACAGATTTTTTGCGAGATATTCATGCGGCAGCAGTAGACGCATTCGATTCCCCGAAAATTTCATTCGGCAAGCATTGCGACGTGGGGGCGCAGTTCTCTGCATGTCGCCACCGCTTGAACCCGTTCCCATGGCCGCTCCATTGACCAATCTTCGCCAAAGAAATCAGCGAGATCATGAGGTTAACGACAAAGCCATCCATCACGACACACAGAAAGCATGTTCGGCCTCGTACTTGCTTGCAACTCCATCTTCGACTCGGTTGTCGCCCAAATGCCTCCTCTTCTACGACCGTACACACTGGTCCAGGCGCCGATGCCCCCAGGCAAAAGAAACGATACTGCTGTACATGCTTGTGTGTCTAGTAATTATAGGTCCGTCAAACGCCCCCGCCCGTCGAGTGTGAAGTAGTCAGAGGTGTGCTGCAGAACAGTGTGTTTTACAAGATGGTTATGCACAGACACTCCCATCGAACAGATGCTGTCTTGCAAGATGCGTGACGCGAACTCGGGGCGCTTTCCGAGGAGATATTACCCTCTGCAGCCTTGCCGTGATGTGCTCCATGTTGTCCTGGGAAGCCACAGCAGTACAAGAGCCCCATCACGCTCTGTTTGAAAGTTGTGGTACGCTCCCTGGGAGGTTCCCTCTGCTGCTACTGGGGTATCAGTTAGCTCTCCAGTGGAGCATCACATCTACTGCTGTTTTACCCCTGCTGTATGTATATCAGCCCCCGTACGCTTGACTGGAACTCACCATGAGGATCTGGGCGAAGGCTTGAAGCGGCTCCCTCAGAGAAGCCATCTCTGCTGTCCCTCGTCTCCTCTTCTCCCTGCTCCTTTTTCAAATTGGTCCAGTAATCAGCTCGGCGACCAAGCCCCGCACACCAGAAACAAAACGGAGCCTCAAGCGTCTCTGCCCCTCGTATCTGCCGTCACCGATACCTTTGGCAGTTGGACGCGGTCGGCGGTGGAGGGCGTCCGGGCTTCGGGGGCGCGCCCAATTGTTGAAATTTGAAAAATTAAAAACAAAAAAGCTTGCACTGTCCATTTCCAGAACGCCTCTCTCACCCCGACACCCTTGATTTCGCGGTGCGCCCCCCCCCTAGTGTTCACCGAGGTGTCGAACCCCCTCGCAGCGCGACGATCTCCAGAGAGCACCAACAACAACCTTGTGACATCGGGACCGAGGGCAGACATCCACAATAGGCAATTCAGGAAGCCGCGGCGTGTCAGTCGAAGCAGGGAATTGGCTCCTTTGGCTTGGTCGCTGTGGTGGCAAGCGCGGATCGTTGCCGGAAAGTCGGTGGTGTCTTTGGAACAGCAGCGAGAACATAGGAAAGCAACGACGGAGGTGTATTTGCCTCGCGAGCGGATTCGGCAGCAGCTAGCAACGGAGCGCATTGCAACAAGGCCCCCAGCAGCAGTGGCTTGAGCGCATATTTTCGGTAGGTTTCATCGCCGATCATCATGTCGAAACTAGCTGAGGGCGAGCAGCTCTTCGCTTCCTTCCGGGCCAGTGCGGAGAAGGGGGACATCCAAAAGGCAAAGGTGCAGCCTACCATGTGTGTACATACCAGTCTTAGTAGAGCTCTAGCCAGTTCATGGAATCAGCGAGATTGAAAGGTCGTCGAGGTTAGGGCTTAGATCAACACCAGAGCAGCATCGATATTGAAAAAGGGGGAAGCGTGTCGCTCTTCATACTTTGCGTGGTGGTCTGGCTCGCGACCGGTATATGAAACACGTTGAGCCTTGTGTTGCAGAATATGCATGTGTAGGCATTGTGGCACTCTCCTCTCTCCTCTTTGAGGGCGATCGCAGCGAACACGACCCGTGTTGTTCATGTCGCCATCGAAGTCCGAAAGATAAGTGTAGACAACACATGCCGCAGAGTTGACCGCAATTGTAGCACCTTCCGCTCCTCCTCTTCAGGCTTGATACTCTGTATAGGCATACATACAAGTGCAACCTAAAAGAACGGCTCATCATTCTCAGTTACAGCCGTACCCTTGTAAGCTTGGACAGCAGCCGGCCAAAAAGACCGCCAGGTGACCGGCGTGAGAGCAGTTGCGCTGCGCAGAAATCCCGAGTCAAGCTCAACATGCATCTCACACGCGTCCCACGTTGCGTTTATGGGCACTCTTACCCCTGATGGTCGACAAGAGCAGACTCTATCACAGGTTACGAAAGGTTGCAGTCGCCGCGGTCTCTTCTGGGCGGAGGATCCGCTATACTGTTGTAGCTTGCGTGTTGCAGTTTTTCGCAACACCGCCGGGAAAATCATATGTTTGAACCGGCTTGGCATTATCTCACTGCTCAATTTCAATTACCGCATTAAAAAGTCAAGTTTGAAATATTGTCACTTAAAAGAGCTCGAATTTGACCCCTCCCCATCCTCCTCACCCTTCCTCGCACGTTGCCACGCGGTTTTGTGCGGTCACCGGTTCTTACACGTCGTCACGACGACGAACGAGCAGTCTTTGCTGACCCAGCTGAAGATCCTGATGACCACCTTCGACTCTCTCCCTCCAATGGGCGCCGAGGGCCCAAACGCGGCTCGAGAGCGGACGCTAGCTCGGGACGTGATGGAGGTGGCGGTGTTTCTGAGCGCGCGAGAGGGGGACAGCGACGCGTTTCAGCGCCACATGGCTCAGGTATGAAGCTTCAGGCTTCGGTCAATGGCGTTTCTGGTGTGTGATGGGTTTGTGTTTGCTTCTAGTTTCTTTCTGAGATTTGTGAGACGAGAGAACAGCTCCGCGAAATGTGTCGACCATCCCTGCATACCTGCCGCTTGCGTGGGACATTTCCAATTTTTGCGGAACGGCGGCGATTGACTGACAGTTATATTTGTTTCGTTCTCAGGACAGAAAGTGGCCAAGATGAAGATCCAGGAGACCCTCATTCCATTCTCACCCTCGCCTAATCTACCCCCCCCCCCGTTCCGCCCCCCCCGAAATAATGTGCTTCCAGCTGAAACCGCTGTGTATGGACTTCGTGTCCCAGCTGCCTCCCTCACCGAACCAGAGCGCGGTGCTGGGCCTGAACTTGCTATTCCTCCTTGTAGAGAACCGTCTTGCGGAATTCCACTCTGAGCTGGAGCTGATGGGAGACGCGGAAAGGGCGAGCGAGTGCGTGATGTTTCCCGTGCGACTCGAGCAGTTCTTGATGGTTGGCAGCTACGATCAGGTGCGAGATACAGCAGGCAGGCGGTAAGCGCTTCGAAGTGTGTCTGTAAATGTTGGATTGTGAATATTGTAGTTTTTGGTGCTGTTGCACCCGGTTCCTGTTGTTGCTGCTGCTGCTGCTTCTGCTTGGATTCTCGGCTGGCGTGTGCCTCGGGGCCCCGCACGTTGCAGCAGATCGGCGTCTACAGATCATCCGTGTGTTTGTCGGCTGTTTTGAAGTTCTTCCTTTAGCACATCGCTTGAATAGCATGGATTCGGCGTGACTGTCGCGCCCTCATGTTCCGTGATTCGGCAATCATATGGTGTACGTTGTACTCAATTAGCTGTGGCGTTCAAGCCCGCGCTACAAGGTGTTGCGAACACTCTTTGAAGAGTCGATTTTTAGCGGGCAGAAGCCGGGATGGCGTCGCGTTCTGTAGTCTCCCCCGTTGTCATTGTGGTCAAATTTTCTTTGCTGTGTGCCTGTTTGCCACGCGTCTCTTTTGCCCCCGAAGGCCCTCGTCCATGCTGACCTTTTCGAGTTTCTCCAACACGCGTTAGGATTCACCTCTAGCTGACCCTCGTGGGCCCAAGGACTCCGACCAAAGTATACGGCGACCACAGCTGAGAAATGTGTCTCTTGCTCAATTTTTAGCCACGTGTGCCTCTTGAAATGTTGGTCTCGCACGTATTGACTCTTCCCGCTCGGGAGGAATAGCGCCGTGACCCGAAATTGTCACCGCCTGACCATCTGGTGTACGGTGGCCGCCATCTGCCACCATGTCCCTCTGGAACACGCTTTATCCAAGCAGGTGCTCGCGGCACGAGACCACGTCCCACACGAGTACTACAAGTACTTCTTGGAGTCGTTGCTGGGCACCGTTAGGGATGGGATCGCCGAGTGCAGCGAGGTACGTACGTTGCGCTAAACGCTGTGCTCCGAGAACCGTTCCTGCGTGATGCTTGGGTTTCCTGCATGTGTCAGCCTCAGTCTGGACCACAACCGGGTGATGTGAACAGCGGTAAATCGGTCCTGGTCTGAGTCCATAACATAATTTTGTAGCGAAGACCCAGCGCGGGACATCGACCTTTCCGCCTTTTGGAGCCCCGGCTTTGCAATGCAATATAGATACAAGAAGGTACGACATAGAGGTGATATGTGCTAAGGCGGGCTCGGATCTGATGCTGGTGCTGCTATGCCGAATGCTGCAGTTGGTATTGGTCCACACCAAACGTTCGTCTACTTTTTCTGAAGGGGGCGAGCGCCAATTTCATGGTCTGAAGACCTCGGATGCAGCTAGCCAGCTGGTCTACAGCGATAGACCCGCAGATTTACATTTTTGGCCCAGATTTATGAACTTCTCGGGTTGTAGCGGCAGTGTTTGGCAGCATTGACCCCAAGGAAGATCTTGAGGTGCCAGCACGATCATCGCTGTTATTTTTTGCATATGAATATTAATATTACTTTCTAAATGTGTGGTGCGTTTGATGTCGGGACCCCGAAAAGCCGAAGTCACTATACTTTGGACACGTATCGTGTGGGGTGTGTCTTGCGAGATCGGGTGGTCGAATAATTGTCTTGGTTTTAGAGGGAGGGTGTGGAGGCATACGCATACACAGCATGTTTAGGGAGACAAGCCCAAACCGCTGCTCCGTGGGACGACCCAACGGAACTAGTCAGGTCCAGCGATTTCCAATGTGGTCAGATACACTTCGTTTGTGTTGCCGTTTTTCTTTCGGCTGCTTGCGCCGTGCGTCGTCAACGATGACATGCACCTATTCTTTGCTCTGAAGCAAAATCGTCCGCGATACTATGTAGTACTCGAGTATATTGTATCACTGCTCCAATAACGCGTCTTGTAGGTTTGCTCCAACAACCCTCTTGCTGTTGGCGCTGTTTCCAATAACCCCTCTTATCGTTTACGCTGTTGACGCCGGCGTCTCGATGATTCTGTTGGCGACCAAGGCGGCGTACTCGGAGCTTTCCATCGCCGAGGCCCAGAAGATGCTTCGCATGGACCAGCGGTCCGAGCTGGAGGCCTTCGTGGCCGACAAGTACCCGGAGTGGGAGCTGACGGCGGACAAGATAATCTTCAAGGCCCCCGAGGCCTGCAAGAAGTCGGCCGAGATCCCCTCCATGCGACTCATCGCGGAGTGTTTGTCTTACGCGACGGAGCTCGAGCGGATAGTTTAAAAAATAAGAAGGCAGCGAGGGTCGGGCTGGCGGGGGAAGAGGTTGAGCCGATGCATACTACTGCTGCTGCTGTTTGATGGCAATGAAGCATGCCTTGGTTTGGTTTTGTTCCAGTTTCGAAATAGGGAAGTATTCTAGTATGTTCGGCGGTACATTCCTGCTTCGGCATTCTTTTTATTGTTGTACCCAGCGGTCATCAACTTTTTCGGGTTCTGCGATTCCTCGAGGTGAACGAACCTCGGTGTCAGAGGTCACGTAGCTGTAGAAAGCACCACAGGCGGTGCCTGTATCGCGCTCGGGTCAGAGACGGTTGTGTCCCGGGAGGCCGGATGCGAAGGAATCCGTTCTTGGCGATATAAATCATATTTTTCCTCTGCCTGGAGGTTTGGGTTTGACCCTGGACAACAGCAGTGTCGATAGTTTTACCTGATGGCCTACTGAAGATAAACTTGGTCTCGAATTGTTTTTCCTAGGAAGCAACAAGCCCAGGCTATCGTATTTCCCAGACCAGAAAGGCTGTAAGTTGTACGGACAACACCATCAGTGTGGACGCCCTACTGTAGTGCGTGGGTCCCCCCGTTTTGTGGTCGAGGACACTGACTTACAGATGCTCCCAGTTTCAGACTTTCAAGGGAGACTAATCCACAATTTATGCCAAATCGTGGCGTTATTTGTCGTGGTACGCATAAGATATCCTCATCCTATAGAAGGCGCCGCACACAAAATAGATTGGTAGAGCTCTGCCCAAGGTCCAAGGAACACGATTACACGGCAACCAATGCAGATAGCACCCAGATCGCACCGGCAGTAGTAGAAATAGTGGCCCAGCACAAAACAAAATGAACGGTGGGGGCACCCGCAAGGGACATGCCATGGGTGGGATGGGGTGCTTAGGCGTGTTGTTGCGCTCCGTGTTCTCCCGTGTATTTGAGCATTTTTCAGACCACACACACAACAAGCAGGAGTGTGGCAGAGCGACAGAGCCTGACGGGGGGAGGGAGAGCACACAGAGAGAGAGAGAGAGAGAGACTTGGTGAGAGGATAGAGATGTGTGAAATGAGTTTCAACTTTCACGCCAGACACACCACTACGACCAATCCGGGATACATATCTTTGGAACTGCTGTCCTGTACGCTGACTGCTGCACGGCATTCCTACGAAGCAACGCTGGGTTCGAAGTTCGAAGCCGACAGGCAACGGTGTATGGTGTAGGAGGTGTATTGGAGATACGTGAACATGTGGTCACCAGTTTGTTTTCTCCCATCCACTCCTTCCTGGTTGGAGGCTTGGTGTACACCGTAGACATGCGAGGGATCGAGGGATCGCAACCCCAGCACTTGGTGGGCGGCACAGCTACAATATATTATTGCATAAGATACCACACCCCCTGGACCGATTTTCAAAGCTCGACTACTCGGCAGAAAGAACAGTGACGGTGCCAAAGGTGGCGGCGTTGGAACCGTCGAGAGCTTTCCGAAAACCTTTGGTTCCATTTTGCATGTCCTCATCCTCGTGAAGTATTCGAGCTTTGAAATCCGGCCCAGGGGATGTGGTATCTTATGCAACCTGCGGTAGCCTTGGACCCGCGTGGCCCCAGCAACGGACCTGGGCGTGGCAACAACATGTCGCTGCTCCATGTTGTCCTCCTTTAGTATACCGTATACGACACAAGACAACACACACCCTGGACCGATTTTCAAAGCTCGATTATGCCACGGCGAAGATTATGCATGGACGAAACGATACGTTCCGAGAGCTCTCGACCAGACGGCTTCAACGCCGCCGTTTTCGGCGCTGCAACTCTGTCTGCTGTTGATAAATCGAGCGTTGAAAATCGGTCCAGGGGGTGTGTTATCTTGTGTCGTATACGGTAGATGGTTATGTAGGACTTTCGCGAGGCAAAGCCTGCTTGAATACCTGCCATATATGATGTGTCTTGAGTTTTGACTGGCGTTTCGTATTGATTTGACAGAGGGCGTGTTGAGGTGCGTAGACTCCGTGATGCGCTGCTGGGGACAAGCCCCGTCCGCTGCTCTGTGCGACGACGAACGGATTCCTTGTTGCGCAATACGTTCCTGCTGGTCTATTGTGTGTGTCTGGTGTATGATATCGGGGTGCTCCCTCGCTTTTTTCTCAACGTCAGTAACAATCAAGAGCAACACATCCAAGAACCCTCTAACCCTCGAAGACATTACTACAGTACACTATCACCAGAGTACGCTCTTTTTCTGCAAGGCTATTACTTTTCTCTCCAGCCCCTCCCTCCCCTTGTTATTCCTGCCATTGACGAAGGAGAAACGGAACGATTTTGGTGACAATCCAGCCCGTCGCCGGCAACACGAGTAGTCTTGCTTATTTGCTGTGGTTGCGCACCGGTCTTGATACCGATTTGCTTGGAGTTACAGAGCCACAACTCGCAACCAACAACAATCTGCCCACCTGTTGGAATTGTGCGGGCGATGGTGTTCCAGGCGAGAGAACGATGAGTTTGACGTCGTTGGAGAACCATTTACTTCGCGGGGCACAGAAGGGCGACTTACCAGCCGCTCAAGCGGCCATTGCAGCAGGAGCGGATCCGAGCGGATCCAGCAACAGCCGATTGCGTCCACTCGTGGTAGCTTCGGGGTCAGGCAGCGTCGAAGTCGTCAATTTCTTACTTCAGAATAGCGCTGAGATGGAGCACCAAACGTGGGGTGATGATGATCATCGATATTTATGAATGCGGGCGACGCATTGGGCCGTGGCATCGGGAAAGTCGGACACCCTCCTCGCACTTCTGAAAGCAGGCGCAGTCTACGATGCAGTCAATGCGCAAGGCGAAACGTGCCTCATGAATGCGTATGTAACGGACGCTTCGCCGCCGACCTGCGTTGCGATGGCGCAGGCGTTGCTCGATGCCGTTGCGGACCCTCTGATAGAGGACCGCCAAGGCCAGCTTGCGCTGCATCATGCAGCGGACCAAGGCAACCCGAACATGATCGACCTGCTGCTTCAAGCGAAAGGATCCTCACTCTCAAAGAAGATGCTGTCGCACTCGAGCATGTGGGACATACACCGCTTCAGAGCGCCTTGGAGAACAACCAAGTATAAGCCGTGGCCCACCTGCTGTTGTTGGGCGCGCGCGCCACAGTTGATCGTGAAGGACGCGGAAATTTGCTTCGGCGGGCGGTTGTGAAGAATAGTGAACCAATCGTCCATGTGCTATTCGACGCAGGACTCAAGTCTGTCGGAGGCGCCGCGCGTGTGATGCCAGACAGCTTGGTCTCCGCCGCGAAAGAAGGTCGAACAAGACTCTTGAAGTTGTTGCTGTGGGGCGAGGGGACAGGACGACCGAATACTGGGCCAACTACTACGTCTAGGGCGGACCGTTGCTTAACGTCGCCGCGGGATTCGCGACTGTTGACTGTGTCGGCGTGCTGCTTGCGGCGGGGGCTGACGAGCGAGTACCCGATGATGAGCGCCAAACAGCTGGCGATGTGATCGGCGATCTTTTGACAGGGGGCAGCATGAGCGCGTCTTCAGGTCCGACAAAGCGACCATCCGTCGAACGCTCCTGCGGGGTCCTGTGTACCGCGCTCGATCGTGGACCTGGCCCCCTCTGGCTGCTGCGGCTGATGGTGCAGTGGTCTTTCCATCCGGCCAACCCGAAAAAACTCCGCTGGGAGTGCACATCTTCCGACGAAGGGGCGAAAAGTTGGTCGTGAGGCTAGTTGGCAGGTGACAGGAGGGGGGGAGCGGATATGTTCTCTGTTCGAAAACTGCAATGACCCGAGCTGTTGCAGATGCAGATATCAAAGAATGGTTCAACAGTATGTTGATCGTTTCGGCATGTCCCAGCCCCCCTCTATCGCCTATGTATACAGGGAGATCACCCGGGTTGCAAGTCCCCACAAAATGCGATATTTTTTTAATACGAAATGACATCGATCACGCGGAGCCCCCACAGCGGTCGAATTCCTACGGGACAGGCCGTTATTCGTCAACAAATCCGGCTGTAGCAGCGATCCAAAATGTTGCCAACCCTCTAAAGCAACCTTAGGCATGTGTCTACAGCACGGTGAGGGGAAGGGTTCCTCTTTTTCTTACGAACTGCGACGGCGGCAAGCGATGCGCGCTTGTCGCAGGGTCAATTTTGTTCCGATCACTTTCGGTATTTAGCTTTGTGTTGGAAGCCTTGTTTGTCTTGTTTCTCCGATGAGGGTGAATCAATCGCTGCTGCGGGATCTCACGTGTGTCATCACCCACGGCAATGCTGATGAGACAAACGCACCCCAACTGTGCTTGGCTGATACTTGCGGCGGAAGCTTGCATTTTGCTGCGTCGGCGAGGCTTTAAACGTCGTGGAAGTTAATTTTCTGAACGAAGCACGGCGGCCAGGGTGGCCCTTGTTCTCTCTAGTTGTTGCCAAGCAACAATGTTCTAAATGTTGCGGGATTAGTGGAAGTACAACGAAATATGTTGCACGCGATGTCAGGCAGATACATTGGCGTGCGTTAGAATAGAAATAAAAAAAATGGTATCCTGAGAAAAGCTTTGTGGGCGTTCAGGTGCCCAAACGTACGAAGAAGGGACGCCTTCTGATGCCGCGGGGTGGTAGTACGCAGGGTACGCTGCTTGTATCGCCGTCCGCCAGGATGTCTCCTCTCGTTCGGAGCGTGAATCAATATTAGAGAGTATGAATAACTTGAAAATGTACCCTTGTGGTGCTCAGTTTGTGCAAGCATGCGAAGTACCGGCTGGACTGGCTCGATGTCGTCGTGTGGAGTCTTCCGTTGCAGTTTAGGGTGTACGGGCGTGGGGTATGTAATTGCAGTACAGTAGTGTTGTAAGCGCCATCATGGAACACGTTCAGTTCCCCCAATTATCTCCGTGTTTGTTTTGGTCCAGCAAAATAAGCACCTACCTCGTCGATAGGCATCACACTGGGTCGAATGCCGTGTTGTTGCGTGACCGGGAGAAGAATAGACCCGCCGTTAAGGAACTCATGTTGAAGAAATGGTCCAGATTGGGGCGACCGTAAGGCACTCGGGCTGTTTTCTATTCGGTCCGAATCTGTTACATGCTCGCCTTTTGCGAACAGAGTTATTGAGCAGACAGCCGTGTAACGGGCGAGCGACGTGGGTGGGGAGACAATACTCGCACACCCAGACAACATGCACGCGCACATGGGGTGTGGGGTTTGGTACGCACAATTTGATCTTGGCCCAATCCCCCAGCTACAGCAGTCTTAGAAACTTCATTTGGTACACGAACGACATTCAGTAGACTGGTTTATCGGCCCGAAATCAGAGACTGAGCCTTGACCCGAAATCGAAGGTTCTTACTGCCGGTTTCCTTCTTACCAAGCCCCAACTGCTATCGTGCAAGTGCCGGCGCAGATGGCAAAGCCCCCGGCGCCGACCTGCCCCGTGTGGCATACCTTCCCCAACCACATGGGTGTGCGTTGTAGAGTGTACCCTGCACAATATTTGCATCCAAGTGCCCCCGTCACCCCCGAGAAACCTCCCGATAACTTGCCCGCCTGCGAAGGAACCTCACAAACACGTAAGCCCGCTTCAAGTCTGCAGGAGTCCTGGTTCCACGTATGACACGTCATGCGTGGTGCCAAACATCCTGCTGCTACAGTAACCTCCTCAGCACCCCGTGGCCTCGTGGCACAGAAAGGACCCACTCGCCCACCTATCTATCAACTCCATGCAAATTCTCCGTGTCGCCAATTTGTTGGGTCATATCAGGGTGACGACGGTGAACACGAACACCGACTGCGGCCACGACGGCGCCAAGCTCGATGCGGGGGGCACCTGATGAACAGGTCCAGCATAATCTAGGCATCCTTCCCGTTGGGGTCAACAGCGTTCGGGGGCGCGTGTTCATCATGTGTGACATGGCAATAAAAAAATGTCCCATCATCCTGCACCATCTTTACCGAGATGTATTACGTCGTTGGGTGGAGGAGCAACGGATGACTGCGATAGCTCGGTTCTATCACGCGCAGTATGTAGGACCAATCGCGGTAGGGGGTATGACTACCCTACTGCATGACCCGACGGTCATAAGTCTTGGGGAAGCTGTAGAAGCGTTCGCCAACTCTCCCCGAAGACGCACCATCCATGTGGCCGTGCTCTGGCCTCCCCTCGATCGATTGCCCAGATCATGAAATAATGGCGATATGTGACGCACCCGCTCCAAAATATGTTGCTGTACAGCAGTAAGTTCTCACACACGCGATGTGCTGCGGTCTTGGAGGATTCCAATTCAAGGAAACCTGCTGAACCGTGTTTCATGCGGGTATGCAAGCTTGGGATGTATATTTTTTTTATTATTATTTATTTCTCCCATCATTTGATCTCTGTCGTCTGCCCCTCCGGCCCCCATCCTCCACTTCTATATATCTCTCCGGTCCATCCCCAACAAGAACTTCTGCTTGGCAATCCCCTACAAGCTCTGTTTACAAGGGAGGCCGAGTCATGCATGCACATGAAAACATAGTCTAGCCTTATCTGTGCGTACAGCATCAGCGAATACGACCTGAAAGTATTTGATCGATCAACAGGCAAGCACTCGCTGCACTCTACCCTACGTGGTACACGCGTCTACCCTACAGCACTAAATAGGCACTACTGCTGTAGTGCTCACCATGCTTGTACTGTACATCGCTCAAACTGCGGCGGTTGGGTGGTTGTCAAGCTTGTGTGGTTGTGCTGTGCGCTTGTGGCAAGCTTGTGGTGGTGTGTCCCCGATCCCCGATCGGCGTGGGGGGGGGAGGGGGGCGCATGCATGTTGCTCGGCGGACCCCCGTGTATGCGCCGCAGTCTGCAGTCTTCAAGCTGTCTCAGCCTCTTGGTCTGCTGGTGTGCTCTGGCTCTTGCCCTGCCTCAACCCTTGGCTTCTGGATTCTCCACCCTGTCTCTCTTCTTTTCTTTCTCGTCAGGTGTGTCAGCATGGGTGTGAGCTTCGGGGTGTCATTCGCTGCAAGTTGACAACTAGGGGTTCCGTGTGGCGCCCCGCTTGGCAACCTTTCCTGCCGTTAGCCGTTGGGCTGTTTCAGCCTACTATTGTGTGACTCTGCCAGGCAATCTGTGGAAAGATGTGTACAGTAGGTCATTTCGTACTACAGTAGTGGTGCCGCAAGAGAGAGAGAGAAGAAGAAGGAGAGTACGGGTAAGGGGCATCATCCGAGTGTGGCCACAAGCTACGATGAATTTTCAGCAGTTGAAGTGCTACAGCGCTACAGCAGTAGTGCGACGGCATATATCCCCCGCAAGTTTGCAAACACTATTGTCAGTTACCAGCATGTAAGGCTGTGGAACCCTCGTCGATCGCAGGGGTTCGTTTGTTTTCTAAGGAACTCGCTTGCTAGATTCCTAACCCAGGATCGTTAGTAGATCACCAACAGCTCTTCATTTATTCAGGACTGACCTCGAGGATGTATCCTCATGTTCCATCGTCGAAGTCAAGCCGCATTTCCTCTCTTGTATCTTCTACACGTTACACGTGAACCGACACTTGCTCCCAAACAATCGTACAGATCTTGCAAGCTGCCGCAATAATCCTGTGCCCCATTCCACGTGCCCCATCAAATAAACCTTCACACAACCTCGAAGGAGAGCCCCGCATGCCAGTGTTCGTTTTTCCGTTTGTTTGTTTTTTTCGAGCGTTTGAAGGCACCTCCGGGGAGCTATAGCCTCCTTCCCGCTGAAGAAACGAAGGGAAATGAGGGTGTGTGGCGTTCTGGGAGGGGAAAACAGCTCTCTGGGAAAAGTACGTCCTCAGTAATGAGGATTTTTTTGGTATGGGATTTTGCCCACATCGTTCCCGGACAAGTGTGGCGCACTCACACCCACCTGGCGCCACCCTGGGTCTATGTGGGCTGCTGAAACAAGACCACACAGTACTTCTGGATGCTTCAGAGGAATTTGGTCCGTTTTCTACCGTTGTTTCATAGTCTCGTGTGTGGAATATATATGATAACACCACACTATACTGCTGTATCACGAAAAATCCGACCTCTCCCACATCTTCCACTAGCTCAAGAAAGTTTCACCACACAGTTACGACCGTTCCAACCAAGACAATGTTCGGTCCAACCAATATGCCCGTACCAATTGTAGTCTCTCCAGGGCACGCCACATGCGCGTTGGCGTTGCAAGGTTGTTCGGTCTGAATGGAAATCGCAATTTTCGGTTTGTTCTCGGCGGTTAAGTTTCCCCATATGTATGTACAACAAGACGCGTAATGCGGTTGACCGAATAGACCCCGTTTTTTCGCACTTCCACCGACATTGGAAATGCGGTATTTCAAATGGAACGTATAGAACATGCATTTCGACCACACCAAAAGAACAAAGCCGACCCTCCGGTTGTCTCTCTCTGCAACGGGCACCAAAATCCTGGTTACCCCGATGTATCAGAACAGCAACCAGAAATGAAAGTCAAGACGAGCCCTTGGCGCCCCACCAGTGGTACAGTTTGGACCGTTTTGATCGTGCTTGCTGACGATTCAACCACGCCCCTGGTTTGGTTTACTTGTTGCCCTTTTCGAAAACGACGAACCCCAGGCACGGCTTTTTGCTGGAAATAGAAATAGACCGGGGCGGGATTGTGTCCATTTTAGGAGCGTACATAAAACCTCACAACATCGGCGTTCGGTCGGGACACGGCAACTGCCGTCACGGGCAACTAACGTGGGCTCATTCTGACTGCTGCAGTTTGAAACGAAGGGATCGCCAGCAGGTTTTCGGGTCACAGTGCCATAGCCAAATATTTACAACCTTTTTGGGTCCCAGTGCCACACCCAAATGTTTAGAACCTTTCCTAGCTTTGGAAACCCGAAGGAAAAACAAATCGCAGCGTTTACGCGCGCTCCGTGAGCTTTTACAAGCGTTGGGAAAATGTGTCTGTTCTACCCTGGGGTGAGTTTCACCAGTGGCGCTTGGCTCTGCGCGGGAGTACGCCCAGACACCAGGTGCGAATCAACCCCAGGATCCCATTGAGGCTTGCAGGCTAAATTTGCAAGCCGAATCTGGATGAGTGAGTCTTGTGCACCTCTTGAGAACGCCATGACAGGGACAAAAGCTTCTAATACTCGCCCCACATTGCGTTGCGCCGGAGCTGCTGAGTTTGTGGCCGACTGAGGCTTATTATCGGACTCATCCCATCCTTTTTCATCCGCAATGCACGTTTTTTTCGCCAGCCAAACAAGAAGGGCAGCCTCGAGCAGGCTCTGGGCTTGAACTATTTAGCACCTTGCGGGCCGTGGACTGCAACCAATGCCTCGCTCGGCGGACGACCTGCTTCTGGTGGAAGTGCAAAACGGCAACAAGAGAGGCGTTGAGCGGTATCTCGCAGCCGGCGCGAGCATCGATGGGTCTCCCCATTCGGGGGAGGAGTTTCCACCCGTCGTGTTCGCTGCCGCCGTGGGCAGCGCCAGCATGATCAAGTTTCTGGTCGACAAGGGCGCGGACATCAACTCCTCTACATGGCGACCGGGGGCCTTCCCGAGCGGCTCGCGAGCGATCCACGTCGCGGTCAGCTCCGGCTACGCCGGTGCGCTCGACGCCCTCCGGGAGCTAATCAAGGCGGGCGCTGATCTCAACGGGAGGAACTACCAGGGCTGCACCCCGCTCATGATGGCCTGCAGGGTAGACAAGGAGGGGGCCGAACGCGTTGAGTTGGCGAGGGAGCTGCTCAAGGCAGGGGTCGATACCACTCTCGTGGACGCTGATGGACGCGCGGCTCTGCACTATGCGGCCTACTCTGGGAATGAAGCCCTCATCCAGGCACTCCTGTCGAAGGGGTCGCTGTCAACGCTAAACCTCGCCACGCAGGACGGAAAGACTCCCCTTTGCGTGGCCGTGGAATTCGTCCACTGCGGCGTCGTGTCTCTCCTCTTGTCCGCTGGGGCGAGTCAAAGGGGCCTGCAGGAAGGGAACTACCCTTGCCCGTTCCGCAGCGCGGCCGCACTGGGGTACGAAAGCATCTTGCGCATCCTTTGTTCGGAGAGGGGAATGGACGCCGTCGGTGGAGGCGCGGCCGTTCTTCCTAATTCGCTCGCTTGCGCCACGAGAAGAGGGAAAGCGAGAATCCTCAGGTTGTTGCTTGCCGCGGAGGGCCAGGAGAGGCAGGAACACTGGGCCAGGCGCCGCTTGGTTTTGGGCAGGCCGCTGGTCTACCTGGCCGCCGCGTACGGGATCCTCGCCAACGTCAAGGTGCTCCTGGCGGCGGGGGCTGACGAGACAGAAACAGACCCCGACGGATATGCCGCGCCGGAAGTAATTGGAGGCCAACTGCCGTCGGGTACGCTGGATCCGCTGGAGGCTGCGGCCATCGGTCGAGAGCTGCAGCGGGGCCCGGCGTACCGCGCCCGCTCGTGGGCCTGGCCGGTCGGGGAGGATGCCCCTGTGGCTGGTGATGCTGGTGCTGCTGGTGCTCTGCGGGGTCTTGAGATCACCACGATAAAGAGGGCGACTCTATGCGGAAAGCTTGTTCAAAGGTGAGAGGGGTGGGGGCGCAGAGAGCCGGCGGAGCGGGGGCCAGAGCCTGGAAGTCGCTGACCTGCCATCGCACACTTGAATTTTCCGGCGTTGAAAGTATGCGCCAAGGATCGCAGCCTGTATTGAACTAACCGAAAGCCACGTTTCGACGAGTCTCGTGAGTTCTGTGATGGGAATTGTGTGTATCCCAGCACATAGCAGCAGAAGCTGACGCCCACCGACGCTAGTCGATGTGATAGCTGGCAGAGCTTGTAGCAGCCGAAGTACAGCAGTGCTCAGGGCAGAAGAAGATGATGCGATGTTTTAACACGGCGCGTTGGTGGCCAACACAGATTCACACAGATACGCAGATGATATACAGGACAGTAGTCCAGGTAGGACGTATCCAAGGGATGGCAAGGATAGTAGAGGTACCCAGACCGACCCTCGTATGACGGAGAGATCACAAAGAGTAAAGAGTGGGGTCGATCACAGAACTACGCAGCAGTAGTAATTCCTCCGCATACGCATAAGTTACATTCCAACCGACATATATTGCGCCGACTAGAATTCATACGCAGCTACTGAACATTGACTGATGAACGGGAGGACAACCTGAACATTTCCGTCACAGTATCGGCCTTCACTAGCAGCTCACGTCGGTCGTGCAAAGATGCTCCACGCCGATTCAGAGATGTCGGCTTCGGACAGATTGCTCACCTGGAAGTTCCGTTGTGCATGCTTCTTCGCTGCTGTGGCCGTTGACCGAATTTGCCAATGGCTTCCGTATCCCTATGAAATGAATGATCTGCCTATTTGTCCAGGTATTGCCAGAAGTTGTAGGGTCAACAACAGGAGATGACGTTCGCGCTACCGAGAAGAATACCTCTGCTTGCAGAGGATGGAAAGCAGGACTTGTGCGAAGGAGGCGATAGAGCGCCTCCTTCTATCTCTGTTCTTCTCGTGTTCTGCCCTACGACCGTGTCCGCTTATTTACCTGGTTTCTTGGGAATCAGCAAGGTTCTGATTCGCTCTTCGGGGGCCCCTGTGTTCGTTGGGAGACGCGCAGCTGCAACGATTTCATGCGTTTATGTATGAGTTGAGTTTTTCTGTACGATCGGCTTGCGTGTTTTGTGGCTTTGACAGCAGCAGCGCCTCCTTCTATTCTCTATTCTTCTCGTGCTCTGCCCTAAGACCGAGTCCGCTTCTTTATGTGGTTTTGCTTGAATTGCCAAAGGTTCTGCTTTGCTCTTCGGGGTTTCCCGTGTTCGGTGGGGGACACGGCCCCGAACACAATTTTTGTGTTCCGTACTCCAGAGCATCAGTTGAGTGTGTGTGTGCAACCATCTAAAGTGTTTTGTGGCTTTGACGACAGCAGCAGCGCCTCCTTCTATTCTCTGCTCTGCTCGTGCTCTGCCCTATGGCCGAGTCCGTTTATTTTTCTGGTATACTTGGAATCGCGAACGGTTCCGCTTTGCTCTTCGGGGTTCCCTGTGTTCGTTTGGAGGCACTCCATTTTTCAGGTCATGATGTGTTGATCAGTTCAGCAGTTCTGCACGATCATCTTGTGTTTTTTTTGGCGTTGATGTACGATTTGAACGGAGTTGTATGCATTGTAACGGACGACAGTGTTATGCTTTTGAGATGGTCACTTCGGCCACACCACGTGTCTCCGCAGCCAACACGTTTGCCTCAAGCGAGGATGCAAACCCATGTCTGTACACTGCATGCGCTCCATGGGTCTGTAGACCTGTAAGTCCGCCTGCGCCGTCCGTTCTGGTGTTTTCTGCTTCAAATCGCTTGTTCCCAATATCGATGTGTTCGGCTCGCGCTGTTCGCTGTGGTTGAGGGGCCACGCTTGCGTTTCGCTTCGTTGTGTTTGGATATGCTAACCATCGGGAATCGAAGACAATTGCCTCACATCGTGAAGCACCGGCTGGGGTTCCAGGCACTGCGTTGCGTGTGTCTGACCGGCCAAGGACAGCGTCGTCGTCGTGATGTTGTGGAATAACACGTTTTCTACGTAAGTGTTTCATGTTTGCATTGTTCTCGGTAGATGTTCTCGTCCACAAGGTTCGAGCCGTGGTCCCCAGATTCGAGTCATTGTGGTTGAGCTTTCGTTGTGGTATCAGAAAGCTACTTCTAGTAGTACATTACCCGATAAATCGCATATATTTTACTGTGAAGAGGCTATTGCTTCGAGAACAGCCCTCATTTGCTTAGAAGGGAAACTGTATGCTTCTTCCTGACTGTGGGGAGGATGGCTCGGCCACGTGTTGCTCACCTCGACCCTATCGCTCTTCCACAGCGATGTGCCTCCCTTTGCAGCACGAGTACCATTTGCAAACTTTTCTTGGTATCTTACCGCAGGTGTGCATGATCTATCGCTATTTTTTTTTTTGCGAGATAACGGTGAATCCACCTGGCAACTTGGGTTCCTCGTTTATCATCCCAGCAATTCTTAGTCTACGTAGTTGTCCGACTTACTTTTGCTCAAACAGTTCGTCACTACAATATGTAGTTTGAGCACAGTTTCGTCCCTGTGTGCGAAGTATCTATCAACTGCTGTCTCGTTGGTGTTCGTGGACGACAGACGAAGCGTCGTTTTGGACTATGCGGAGGCCCCGAAAATAACGCAGCGTCGTTGTACAATCCAGTGACCGTGTCCACGAAAGACAACAACAACGTTTATGCATGACTCCATTTCGTTGGAGTACTTTGTGGCATCCCCATCTCTTCCATGGCAGCCTTCCTGAAGAGCATCGACCCGGTCACCTCCGCACTGTAGTGCCTAGTAGGAACGAAAGGCTCTACCTCGATAATATAACCACGGCATTGTGCAATACAGCAGTATTTTTGTGGGCTGGTAAACACCACTACGTCTTCGCGCGTAGTGGGTCGTGTTCGTATGGACATCAGCACATCAGCACATCACCACGAGTGCGGCGGCGGAACCGTGCTTGGTTCGCCCAATATTCGCCGAAGGGAGAACTAACCCGACGAGAACCAAAATCTGCGGCGTGATCGCCACCTCTCGCTTTCTGACTGGACGTCTCCGATGACGTGTCCGAGCACCAAGAGTGTCAGGCCAACCACCATTACAACTCTCTCCGTCTGCCACACTAGATCTCTTCTCTGCTCTCTTCTCATTCAAAATCTGGACGACAATGCAAGCTACCTGTATCGCCCTGTTATGTGCTGTCGTGGCGATGATCACGTGTGTCGAAGGTAAGCGAAATATATTATCACCAACTGATGTACAGCACACCTGCGGAGCGCTTTCATGTCGAAGTTGTAACAGCTGTCGTTGTGCGACCAGCATGCGCTGTACACCTGGGGTTCGTCTCGGCCAACAGCTATATAATCAAGCTGGCATTGACGCGCTAATGCCAGAGCAGAACCCTTGCGCCAAGTTGGGGCACCTAGCCGACGATGGCGTGTGTGTGCGTGTTGATGTTTGTGATGGATAGACTACTGCTGTAGAGGATGCGGTCGCTACACACGTCCCGGAGAATATGGCATCTGTCCCAAACATGTTTCTTCATGCCTCACCGCCCCAAGACCCATTGGTACTCAGTTAGACTATAAAGGCACCTCCACTGGGTGGAAACCCGAACAGGGCTCGCTCGTCTTTTTTTGCTCAGTCAACCCTCAACCTGGCGTCACAAGCAGCTCAAGAGCAAACCGAACTCTGACCGAACTCCGCATATTCCGCCAGCGATGTCCCATATGTTGCATGATGTTACTGCGCTTGTCTCACGCCTGAGTGTAGCATCACCACATCACCACCAAGTTTCGTCCAGCGTGGGATTTTTGCTGACATGTTTTGCTTCCGAGGTTTGAAACACTTCTGGCTACGCACGAGGCGTCAGTGGTGCACCCCACTGAGGTGTCGTCCCTAGACTAAAGATATACCACACGACGCAAGTGTGCAGTCGCGTTGACGACATAGTCTAAACAGCCAGTCTACAACAGCAGTACAGCACGCACAACGATCGTACGTTCATGTGCATGTACGTACGCATACGGACACCATTCTCACGTAAAGACTGCGTATACTTTGTACACTTTGCTTTCGGTTCGATGAAGGGTCGCTGGGCTCTTTGGGCCCAAGGGCTCGTCCTGCTACCAGCATAAATCGTCATGTTTCATCCTGCCTTCGACGACACGGCTGTGTTCTCACGAGCCCACTCTGGAGGGGTCACTTCCTTTTCTTGCCGATACTTGACGATTTCCGCATTATTTCAGGTGCAATTGACGTGTTTATCTCAATGGTCTTGACGCTCTCAACTTCTGCTACAAATAGCTGCCGTTGCTTTGAGAGCTGATGTTCTCGTTCACGCATGAACTCGTCGACCCCAATAATTTGTTTGTCATCAGGGTTTAGCACGCGACCAAGCCTACACACCCACCGAGCGGCAACCACAGCGTCAAGATCGTTGCAGGCGTCGCGAGCTGGCAGTCGCCGAAGCTCACAAACAAGAATGTTCTTCGACTTCGGGAAGAAAACAGAGTCGAACGCTAGACCAATGGCTGGGGGGACTGTCAAGGGGGGGAAGAAGGTGAGATGAAACATATTCAGATTTGAAGACGACAGAAGTTACGTTCGCTTACAAAGGTATCTCGAACGACTTTATTTTTTTCTTTGAACCTGTCAAGTATTCATGCGATGCTCGATAGCTGGATCGACTAGCATCACAGCTACGGTGCAATCATCCGTCGCCTTTTGGGCGACCCCACGGCCAAATATCCAGTGGGCCTTCGTCGGTTCACCACCATGCTGCCAGATTTTTTTTCAGAGAAGATAACACCTGTTCATGTCTTGCCTTGCCTGCTTGGGGCTGTTAGCAGTTGGCCTAGATCTCCCCAATCTGGCCTGTGCGTAGACACATTCCGCCAACAGTTCTCAACCGTGGCTAGCCACGGCGTCGTGCTCGGGCACGAGACACGAGACACCACTCGAATCGGCCGTTTCACCCCTTCGTCCTCGGTCGTAAGGCACAAAAATATCTACACCTATTTTGTGTGCTTCTTTCCTCCGTCGTGAGCACCCGGGTGCACAAGTACGTTTGAGTTTGGAAACAAACGTTACACCGGCTTGTCCGTTATATGACCGAGTCACCACGAGAAAAACCATCTCATTGTAGTGAACACTACCCCCCACTAGGGAATCTTGCGTCATTTTATGTTGTTGTCTCACTGACCCTGCCTCTCTCTCTCTCTCTCTCTCTCTCTCTCTCTCCCTCTCCCTTGGTCACACGTCCGCTGTTTTGCGTATTTTCGCCTTCTAGACCAAGATTACCCAGGATGTCACACCCGCTCAGCGGCGGGCACAGGAGAAGGCGACGGCGATAAGGGAGAGGAGTCGGAAGGCATCAACAAGAAAGAGCGAAGGCGTCTTCACTCCACCACAGGTTCGTGGAAAGGTCGCACATGCCGAGGACTCGAACGCTAGCCCACAATCATCACCACACCTAGATTTAAAGAGCAACGCTACGGAAAGAGGGGGCACGGTTTGAGGCAAGGGGTACGTCTTGTCGCGCGATGTTCAAAACTGCTCTTAACTCTTTGAAGTTTTGCATTTCAAGAAAAACAATTTCTGGACAGGCAGCGGTCTAGCGTGCATCTGGCAGAGTGCAAAGCAATTAGCATTTTTCCAGTTGCTGAGGGAAAACAGACTACCGTAATAGTCGGAGAGATGGCACCGGTCGGGGAGATGGCACCGGGGTGCGCAAAAAATCCAAGAACGGCGTGATTAGATTCGATGTACGCACCGGGGTTGGGGAGATCGCACCGGGTGCGATCTCACCGGCCCCCAAATCCAAGATTGGGCTCCTTGTCAACAGCCGGAATGGGGTACATGTGCGTACCTTATGCACGTGGGGACGGTGTCAGCGGAGCGCCACTCTTGCCCTGTATGTACGTATGCATGGTCGCGGTTCACGCAGGATACCAGTTTTCATTTTTTAATTGTTACGGAAGTTGCCAACCATACACTCAAGCAAACACACAACGTACAAGCCGCACCCTACCCCACCTTGTGCAACACGAAACTATTGTATTGGTATCCGTATAGGAAGACCGAAATGAAAGCGGAAGACAGCCTGATACCGCATGTTCCGGTGCCTCAGATGGAAACCGCATCGTTTGTTGCCCTTTGCACGCCATAACTAAACTCGCCTTCAAACACAAGACCACTCGCTGGAAAGCCGTTACGTACCAGCCTACGTTGCCGTTACCGGTGTGCTTCCAACCAGCAACAACGGTGCCTACACGCGTGGTTCTACTGATCAATAGCATTGTCAACTAGCGTGTTTTGAACGCTGTGTATGTGCGTGGGTGGTATCGATACCATGGTACCGATCGGGGAGATGGCACCGGGGTGCGTGCGTATTACACCCGTGTGTATGTATGTCATCGGGGATGGCACCGGTCGGAGAGATGGCGCCGGGGCGCGATAAAAACCGGAGGAAAAAACATTTGAAAAAACGATCGCACCCGGTGACACTCTCCGACTATTACGGTACCCCGCAAAAGTAACCTGCACGTGAGGATCATCCCATGCACCCACACCAGCCCCCACCTCGTCTTCAGCGTTCCTTTTCGCCAACTCTTGAACTCTTCATTACCAACCGCGTGAAAAACCGAAATCGAACAGTTTGAGGCCTTCAAGAAGGCGCGGAAAGAAGTGCCCTCCGGCAAGGGGGACGCCTACTGGGAGAAAATAGCGGCGAGGGTGCCGGGCCAGAACGCCGCGGCCTGCAAGCGCGTGGCGGAGTCGATGCTGTTCGAGGCCGCGGTGGGCACCAAGAGCAACTACTTCGGCGGCTACATCGAGACAATAGAGACGCCGGACTACGTTGACCCCGAGGCGGACATCATGTTCAAGATCAACAAGTTGTTCGGCCGCGGGAAGAAATAGGAATCCGCGTTTTTGAAGAACAAGGAAATAGGAACCTGCCCAAATAGACGTTTCGCTTCGGCAGCGCCAGGAGGTAGCAAGGCGCCATCTAGGAGCTACGTTCGCCCCTATCTAGGCCAGCAGTATTGTTTTGTTTCTGCGTGTCTGGGAATTTTTGCCATCGCTCCTAACCGCGGGAAGACACGGATACAGGTTAGTTCTTTAGAGGGAAGGATGCTCCGCTGTTTTGGTACCCATATTAGTTGTTCAAGGACACTCACGGCCTGTTGGTTTATTTCACGAGAAAAACGTTTGGTGGTTGATGTATATTTGAAAGCCTGCGTGTGAAAATAAATGCCTCGGGGATCAACATCGGGGCCGTCCGTCGTGGGTTAAAGGGACAGCAACATGTTCGTGTAAAGAAAGTAGAGTACCCTCACGCAGAGGAAACGAGGACGTGTGGACTGTAGCTGTCAGGTTTACGTTTTTGTCGTTCTAATCACCTCCCTCGCTGTTGAGATTTGCCTAGTCCTTTTTACCATCTTGGTAGTTTGGGGCAATGTACGGTGACCATTGTAAAACGAAGGAATCACATGTGTGTGCTTGTTTGTCCTGTACCATCTATTCTGGCGCCGGTTTACAGGCCTTTCGGCTTATATACCTCACGTATAAGCCGGGGGGTCACACAAACGGAAAGTAACACATCTGACTTTTTCAAATTGTTTTTTTTGCAGTCGTGCAATTGTACAACGACTCAATTACGGGATGTCCCACTACCTGTTCCTTGTGGCAAGCCTGTGGTGAACCAAAGGCCATGGGTGGCTCTCAGCGATTGGCTGTAGCGCAAGCGGCGCACATCTATTCAGGGGAAGCAGACACACTTGTCGAGCACCCCCGAACGGTCGCATCTGCCAGACCTTGCGAGAGTTCCGACGCATCGGTTCTTCGCTGTGCTGCCAACGTCCATGACAAAGTTGGCGTTTGTCTACAACAGGTCCAAGGTGTTTGTGATCATTTATTTTTGTATCAGCGAACCTCGAACAGGCGACAAAACAAACGATCGGACCAACCTCGGCGTTACCCCCAGCACGCCTGCAACTACGTGCTGCCTTGCTTCAATACACTTGTCATGCGAGCAATAGCGTCGGTCCCACATGGGAACACGACATGGGCATCCGTGTACTACAGACCAGAAACCAACTCGCCCCACTCGGGGGAGCTGCAGACAAACAAACCTCACTCCTGGAGTCGACTCTCTACCGTTGCCACCATTCCCACGACCGGACCATCCCCCAGTGCCGTCTCGCCACCCCCCGCCTCATCCCCATCTTCACCCGAATCCCGTTCGTCGTCAGCGTGCGCCACCTTCGGCTTGTTGGGATTGTTCTCCAACAGCCACTCCGCGAGCCACCTGAAGACATACCCATGAAGCTTTTTGAAGAGCGAGTGAATTCCGGACACGCACGCATATTGATTCTCCGTTCTCGATTTTGGTCACGGTCACACGTGCTCCTTCCTTCTCATGTGACGCCCCATCAATGCTACCGCTTACAACGGTTCCCCTCGAGAAAAGATTCAATCTGTTGTTTGTTGCTCACGCAATTCCCCCCCCCCCCCCCAGAAAAAAACAAAACTGTGTGCTGCTTTGCCCCTCTTGACCAACTCACCTGACGGCGTCAAGTCCCTCCGGCTTCACCTTGCAGAGCTCTGAAAAGGGGGTGGTGAGGAGCTCTTCGAGGGACCCCGTGCCTGCTCTCATCCCTTCAACGAACGCCCTGCTGGTTTGCACATTTGGCATCGCGCCATCAGGATCAGCGCAGAGACGATGTATGTGAGATGGGCTGTCTCCGCGGGGGAACGGAACAGCCGCACAGCTACACTTGCTTGCGTCGTCGGCTCTTACGCGCTCTACAGTATATCCTTCTCTGGAACAGAGATCGATCGCTGTCGGGTCGAGGCGGAATGCCGATGTACAACAAGGGTCATATCGTACATATGTCTAATGCCCCGGCCTGCAATAGCAACCAACTAAAACTTTCTCGCATAAATTACATCGGTGACTGAAGAGGCTGGGTGGGAGAGTCACACACTGACGGGTGGGTCTGAACGGTTTTCGGGTCCATCGACCTAATAGGAAAATAAATCCGTTGAGGACGACAGACTATTCGGTTGACTGCTGCGTGTATCTCTGGGACCAAATATTTGCATGTCGTACCTGGCCTGGTCTCCTGTCGGTACAATCTTCGGCTTGGCGATGCCATCGAAGGTGGAGTGGATGAAAATCTGGCCGTGCACATGATAGATGCCTATGCTCTCAGCCAACCGTTCCAGGTCACCTCTCGATCGCGATAAACCAGCGCTCCCCATCTATTGGTGATCAAAGTGATCGGGATACGAAGCGGGAAACAGCCCAAGGTAGTTTTTTTTGTATCTGTCTCGTGATGTCATTTATTGGCCGTCCCTGGCAGCTTCCTACCTACCCTGCGGCAGCACGTCATTGCTAAACAGCTCCGATCCGGAGACGCATTGAAGTATTTCGGTGCAGCATTCGCTTCTTGCCTTTCGTATCGAGAGATGGGTTCAGCCTTCTTCTCCCTCGCGAAAATGACAAATGCTTTATACGATGGGCAGGCTTCATGAACGGCAGTACTCTAAGAGAGTAGATTGATCCCAGCACAATACTACAATACTCTGTATGTGTAGGATGCGCATGAAATAAGTATTTCGCCCATCTGGAGGTTGAAGAGTCCTCCATGGTCTAATGGATGCGACTCTGCAAACTTTCTCAACGCCACGCTTGTTCAAGCGCCCCCCTGCCTACAGTGAGTGCTCGTAAAGATCAAACATTATTGTTCTCAATGCCAGCACCAAGAAAGAATGACCACAACGGCAAGTTCGCGGCTTATGTATGGCAGACGACAACGGTGACAATGGGCTCTACGGCGGGGAGCAAGAAGCGAAACATTTGGCCTACAAACAAATACCGCTGTATGTAATACATAGATTAGTGGCATACATACATACCCAGAATAGTTTGTGATACGCGCGACTAATGTACCACCTATAATACAAATGCTTGCATTGTAGAGTATTCGACACTACGAAATACAGTTGGACGCCGCATCACCACTCACTACCTCTCGTTCGAAATGTTGTGGGTTACAGTAGCACATACATGTAGATTCATGAACGACCCACCTCTCCTTCCGAGACGGACAATGTATATCGATCCGAAGTCTCCTGTTTGTATGCCTGGACAAGGACGCCCGCGGGAAACATATCCTCCAGATCTAAAATATACATGGCGCCATCCTCGAGCTTGCGACCGACTGTGTAAAGCGACGCCGACTTCTTCGCCCACGGCGTCATGATCTTTTCGCGTGCTTCTCTTTCCAAACGCGGTTGATACAAAGCTGAAACTGAAGCCAGTACAAGATGATCTCGCGTTTGTTCTGCCAGCAACGGTGTGCTTGACCAGCTAGAAGGCAAACGAGGCTCAGCGTCCCGAGCACAGAATTGGGCGGGTTTGTCTGTTGTTGTTGTTGCTGCTGTATGAGAGAAAAACAGAGAAGCAACAACGAGAGAGAGAGAGAGAGAGAGAGAGAGAGAGAGAGAGAGAGAGAGAGAGAGAGAGAGAGAGAGAGAGAGAGAGAGAAAGCGTGCACGAGGTCGGAGACACTCCACGGTTCTACTCTTGGCGGTTACGCTTTCCTTTTTCTGTCGTACGAACGCCGTCGTCGATGCTTGAACTCCCTCGATTCAATTTTTGATTGCGCCGCATGCCTCACCCTCTGGGTGCCACACTGGAAACATTACCCGTGTTTCACCTTTCACCTGTCACGTGATACTTCGCTGCGGGAGCAGACGGGAATCATGGCTACAGGAGAGAGAGAAAGTACGTTGGAAGAAGCCTTCAAGGTGAGTCACCCAGACTCGTCTCTCGGTGCCTCGGGCACCAGCGTGAAGTTGGCTCACCTCCCATTTATAACAACGAAATCCCAAATGGACATAAATGACCCGCCGGCAAGACTACGACGTGGGACTTCGACACGCGCTGCCTAGACACGGACCCCTGTTGTTGGCGTGTGCTGTGTACTCGTACCTCAAGCGTCGCTTGGTCTTTGTTATACCCCCGTTCAACAGCAGTGCGAGCCTGCTTTTCAATTTCTCTCGCGCATGCTGACGCGCCTCTTTCGGGCGATCTACTGTATATCCGCCGGCTCGCACGACCCAGCATCAAGCATGATGTGTTACGCCGCTGCTGCTGCCGGCATTTGTTGCCATGTACCTCCAAGTAGATGCAGCTGCCGTCACTACGATGCTCCTGCTACACCGCACACGCAGCTAGACGCTAGCACGCATCCAGGGAGAAAATCGTCAAGACCTTCGGAGTAATGGTCTCGGTCTATCTACGTTTGTACGGCAGTACCAGTAGTGTGGAGAGCTCTTCGAAATCAGGGAGAGGAGCGCACCTAATTGTACCTCAATGCCGAAGCTATGTAAATGACGAGCCCAGTGGATAGACCAGAGGTCTAACAAGACGGACGGCAATCAAGTGCAGGGTCGGCTGGTTGGCGCGGTCGACGCTAACTAGAGAGAGCGAGCGCACTTGCACTGGCATATGGATGCAGACGAACGTTCATATCGGCTTCTTTGTCTCTTGGTGTGTGGGGCGGTGGAGATCCACATGGACCAGCTTCTTTCGAAGGGACGCAGGAAAAGAAACCCCAATAGTACATACAGCTTTGAGCTCTCCTGCACATGGGTACCCGCGCAGCCGTGATTCTGAGTTGTTCTTCAGTCGAACGTCGCTGTTAGTGTTGGGTATCAAGTACTTTGCAAGTTTCTGGTTTCGCGACATTGCCCAGGATGTGATAATATATCGGTATACATCCTTATCAGGCGATGCAGATACTGTGGATGTCTAGACTATATGCATAGGACGCCATGCATAATATCGCGACATGGTATCGATCACTTCCTGGGCGTGGTTGACATTCCCCCTCCGGCCAATCAATCCCCTCCATCGAACCCTATTGACGGATGACAAGGGGGTGGCGCCTCCCAGTTGACGATTGTAGACCGGCCTTTCGTTTGGGCAAAAGCCTGTTCAATGCGGTACATCTTTGACATATTGTAACAATTTCCTTTTTTGGAAATGTAAAAGTACAATCAAAGACTACCCGTTAGAGATACAGCTGTAGTCAAGTGGATGGGTTGAATTATTTTCTTAACGATGCGGCCGACCTGTTGTACAATTCCCGCCCTGGGGTGTGTTTCACAGGAGGCGTGCGCCACGGTGTGGGAGCAGCGCCTCAGCACCCAGTACGACGCCGTCCGGATGCAGCTGTACGGGCTGTACAAGGTCGCCAAGGAGGGGAAGTGTCAGGAGCCCAAGCCCAAGCCCGACACGGTAGGTCGGGAGTGCTCGCCTGCCGACGACACGCGCGCGCGTACAAGCAAGCGGCCGGCGGCCCCTAGACCGAAAGTGCGACTCTCCAAGAAAAAAAAAAGGGAAAAAATGACGATGTACGGTAATAATGTGTGTAAATAAATATGTATTATGAATCGCGGGTTACCATCTCGGCGCCCGAAGCTGTTGGGGGGTAGACTATCGGGTTTGTCGCCTGAACTTGAATTTCGCGTGCGGTTTATTTTCTCGCCAACACGATCGGTGGCTTACACGTACGTATGAGATTGCAATTGCAAGACGGTGTTACATAGGCGGTCATAGATGGGTGCTGCAAGCACGCTGTCTCCCATCTCGCAGGCTCAGTCGAGTCCTGCACGTGGGTCCGTGCCGATAAGGTGAACCCGCTACATGTCGCCCGCGGCTGCACTACACAACGCTGGAACCGGACTACGCCTTGGCCTTAATTCTACTTAGTACATTGACTGCTTCTATTCTCTTACAAGACGTAGAGCTACATTGACTGCTGCTTTTCTGGTACAGTACGCTGCCCCTTTGACCCTGTAGTGCTCCGCTGATTTTTTTGTATGCTCCGTTGGTTCTGCGATGTCGTCGCTTGCCTTTGCCTCGATCGTTCACGACCTGTTGCAGGTCCTGGGGGGCGAAAAGAACAGATCGAAGTGGATGGCCTGGATGAAGGCCAGCACCTTCTCGAAGGAGGAGGCGATGGCTCGCTACGTCTCGGTGGCGTTATCGGTCGTCAAGAGCAGAGGTGAGGAGAAGGATGGTGCAAACGTCGTAGCAGGTACATATGTGGGTACCGCAACAGCGGTTATGGTTTGAGAAGACGGTTGTGCCAAGGCAGCCGGACCTTCAACAATGCTTCCTCTTATGGTTGCGGAAAGCCACTTTAGTTGCAGTATCTCCTACAACAGCAGTGTGCATCCGTTTTTTCTACCGAGTTGTCTCTCTGAAACCGTGGCCGCTACTGCGTCAGGTTCGTTGATGGCATCGCAGCTTTCGTTATATATTTCCAACGACGACACGAGTTTGCGCCAGGCTCGTGGATACAGGCTGACTTTCGGGCGGCTCGCTGGAGTTGGTCATACCAACAACAATAACAACAATCCGACAACGACAACGACAACGTCAAGCAACAGCAGGGCGTGCTTCATACGTGTTTCGGCACAAGCACTAGTAGAGGACAGTGCGACCACGGATACTCACAAACACTCAAGAGTTGCACCCGCCCCTATTTCCCACCGTCAGTCCCTGCACACCTCAACTTCGCCTTTCACCGGCCACATCTTGATGCGGCCTACCAGTTTCGTACGACACCCCCCCCCGCACGCACGTGCGATACCCTCATCCTCCCCCCCCCCCCCATGTTTTGTGTGCGTGGCCCCCAATAGGCGACGCCGCCGAAGGGTTTTCCACTGGAGGCGTTGCACGGGTTTCCGGTGGCGGCGATGGAGGCGTCAGCGTGGGGGCGTCGGGGGCGAGTGGCGGGGGGGGAGGGGGCGGCGCGGCGGCGGGGGGAGCAGACGGGAGGAAGACGTCGGCGGTTTGGGGGAGAGAGGCTGCCGATGCACAAGAGATGGCGAGGCTCAGGGAGCACACGGAGTCATTAGAACGGTGGGATATGCATCCCCAAACTGCAAACTAAGAAATACCCCAAGCAAGACCAAACACACAGCATCACACGTACCGAAATGGGGTCGGCGTAACGGCCACCGTGTGCGTGGTTCAATATTGTTGAGTGCGGCTTTCAGCTTGTAAATGTCGCTCTTGCAGGCTGGGAGGTGGGTGGGCATTTTATTTCGGCATGACTGCTAGTTTGGTTCCTGCATGGTTCCTTGCATACAGACGGCGTGCCGCAAGTTGCTTGTGTGTGTTGTAGCAGAGCGTTCGTGGCCACAGAAATGTGAGAGTCCTGGCCAAGTATCGCGCGAAAAAGGCCGTTGTCTTTTTCCCTGCAGATCCCGCCCAATACATCGCACAGCATATTTTAGAATTGTTTCGATTTACTGGGAACACATCGTTCAATGGGGATTTTTTCTGCCTTTTCCCGCCGATCTAGGCCGAAATACCAACCGTCGAAAAACGCATTAAAGATTCGAATCCCATTTATTCCAAACATCCGTCTTTACAACTTGCGGTGCATCAGCCGGGGTCACGAGCACAAAACAGAATGCGGGGGCATTTTCTCGGACGGGCAGTCTAGTCTAGTCTCTCTGCGATCCAGTTATCTAAGAGCATCACTCCCGTTGTCAGCGGGTTCTCCCTTTCTTTGCCCTCTTTTTTTTTTTTCACGTGTCGGTGAACCCAAGGTACGTCGCCGTTATCCGATGAGCTGACTGTCCTCTTTTTCTTTTTCTTTTCGCGTTTTTTTTTTGCTGCTTTTTTTTTGCGCGTTTTCGGTTTCGGTGGCAAAGATATGTCGTGATGATCCGCGACGAGCTGACGGACCTGAATGACGTCGACGTGAGCATGTCGGGATGGCTCTTCAAGTGGAGGGACCGAGACGCGTACCTGTGGGGATCCGTCAAGTGAGATATAAATATTTAACAATTTCCCTGGTTAGTTTCTGCTGTATTTCCATGGTATTTTTTTCAGGTATTGTTTCCTTTCCCTCATTGTTTTTTTTTCTATGTATATGCATGTTTTATTTATGGCATTGTTTTATTTTTTGCCGCGAGATGGGATTTGCATGCAGGATTTTCGTCGTTTCGCCGCGCCGTTTCGCCGCGCCGTCGGCGCGGCGCGTTCATTCGAAGACGCGAAGGAACAGCCTGCGATTTTTGGTGTCAAGCGTTTCATCTTTCGGGCAAGTGCCCACCCATACGATGCGCGTCTTCACATCGGCCGCCGAGTGCCTAGGTTTCGTCTTGACAGCAAGCAGTCTCGCCTTAAAACTTTTGATCACCTAAAAAATATTTAAAACACCCGCGCGCATGAACAAACATTCCACCACTTTTTTCTACATGCGACGTCTCACCTTAAGAATATATTGATCACCTAAAAAACACTTAAATGCACCCGCGCGCATTAACAAACATTACACCATTTTTTCTACGTCCGACGATGAGGTTCTGTATCCTGAAGCGTGCCTGTGCGAACTACCTGGTTCCGATTGACCCGCGTTGTGTCGCAGGTGGGTGCCCCGGTTCTTCACACTTTCCGACGGCAAGCTTAGCACGTACAAGTCGGACCAGTGCGCCGAGGCTGAGTCGGTCATGAGCCTCAAGCGGTGCGTGTTGCGAGACGAGGGCACGAGGATCGGGAAGGCGCCGGGTCGCGGAAAGGTTTGTGCGTGTGTGTGTTACGAGGTAGATGGGGGGGGAGTGAGAGAACGAGGGAGAGAGAGGGACACACAGAGGGAGAGAGAGGGACACAGAGAGAGAGAGAGAGAGAGAGAGAGAGAGAGAGAGAGAGAGAGAGAGAGAGACACACACACACACAGAGAGACACGCAACGTCGTAGAAAAATCATCTAGATACCCGTCATTGTTCGCGTGTTCCGAAGTTACATCCCCAGCGGGTGTTTCATCCAGCAGAGTAAGCGGTAAGAGGTCGTTTCGAGTAGTGCGTTGAACCTTGTCCAGGGTAGTCACCGCCTGCCTAGGGTTTCCACACAGTTGATCGAAAACCGCGTTGTTTCTCGTATACATACCGCGTACAAGCCACCAAGGGTTTGGCAACGCACACCAATGGTTTGCTTCGCATGGTGGTGTTCCTCTCCCCTATGTTTCCCCTGCGGTAACGGTCGACTCGTGTACTTTTCAATTTTCAGCCTCGTCCCGAGTACCATGTATTCGGACTCTACCTGGAGGGGGCGATGCAGAGGGGGCCCGATGCGGGGGTGCTGCTTCGCCTGAGCACCGACAAGGAGGATGTGGCGGAAAAGTAGGTACCTGCCGGTCTTGCGTGTTGTCGCATTAGCATCGCAAGTTTGTTGGTACTGCTTCTGTTGTTGTTGTTGTTGTTGTTGTTGTTGTCGTTGTTGTTGCAATTGTTTTTGTTGGTGGTGTTGTTGTCCGTGTTGGTGTTGCTACTGGTGCTGCGATGGTGTTGGTGGTGATGGGGTGTGTTGACCGTGATGACTCGTCCCCTCAGAGAGGGTCTTCTCGGCCTTGTCTCGTGCTTGCTGCAAGCATGGTCGTCGCTGTGCCGTAGCCTCCGATATACCACACCCCAATCCAACCCCCCCCCCCCCCATAAAAAAAAAACAATTTCCTCCAGGTGGATCTCCTCCTTAGGGGAGGTCTGTGCCCAGGAGGAAGACCACAGCTCTCCCGCCTCTTCTCCCTGCGCGTCGGAGGCTGACCAATCAGAGGCCACGCCGTCGTCGTCGGCGTGCTCGTCGCCGGTGGTGACGGCGTCCATGCCTCCTGCGCCCCCGCCCGCAGACGGGTTAGACTCGGCGCCGCGCATGAGCCGGATATCGTCGGTGGGGATGTCTCGGAAGGGCAGCTGGGATGTGGCCGGGGGGCTTCAGAACCTGAAGAGGTGAGAGAAAATCTGTTGCTGTTTTTTTTTTTTGGGGGGGGAGGGGGGGAGAGAAGAGCGCTGGGCGTTGTTATGTTGAGAGAGAGGGGGGGAGAGACACACACACACACACAGAGAGAGAGAGAGAGAGAGAGAGAGAGAGAGAGAGAGAGAGAGACACACACAGAGAGAGAGACAGACAGAAGAGCGATTTGAGTAAGCGGTTATTTTTGGCGATGGAAGACGTGGACCTTTCCGCGTGAAGCGTGGGTGGTTGTTTGCTTGGGATATGCGACTGTTGCGTGAAGAAATAGGGCGATGAGTAGGCGGTTGTTTTGGCGATGGAAGAAGATGCGGAACCTTGATCGTGGGAGCGTTGGTGTGAAGGCCTCGGTTCGGTCCAGGATAAGAGTTTGCTGCCGAGTTCCGCCCCCACACAACCCGGCGTACGTAGGTACGACTGACGCGTTTTCATTGGTATGCGGGTTAGCACGAGCGGTGCTACAGTTACAGAAGCACGTACAGCCCCACTTCATTGCCTGTTCCACACGCTGTAAGGGTGGGGATAAACCCTGATGCCGGGCACGACCATATGACCCCCCCCCCCCCCCAGAAAATATATCACGTCGTTCGCAGCTGCCATCCGTATGCAAAGAAGTAAGCGCCAGATGCAGAACACCCTCGCATCGCGCCCTCCATGCGACTCGTCGAATACTTCACCGCGCTTCTTGGCGCTTGGTGGTGCGATAGCCTGGTCCGTTGAGGAACCCGGCGTGCTCCGTCCAGGCTTTGTAGGGATGCGAGG